CTCTGGTATCAAAGTTGAAGTTTTATGTGATAACCTAATACGATAATAATTACCTCTTTAAAAGACCTAACATTAACATTATGTTGAGTAATGAAATTTAATTGAATTTGTTTAGATAAAGAAAAATATAATTAAATAGTTCTTACTTTACTTTTTTTTTTCAATCAGACATCTTTATTTATTTTCCTTAACTAAGGTCTTCCTTATTTTTTAAATTTTTATTATTTTATTTTATTTTTCAAGTTTGTATAAATAGTGAGAAATTACAAGGGCGTAAAGCACTAATCACAAACACACGCACCAAACAGCACTATGCATCCCATGGCCAACCCAATTTGTTGTTGCCTGTCGTTGTCTCTATGCAATATGTACATGCTCTCACCATTTCTTTTCCATCATTCATCTTTGGTGAAACGCAAAAATTAAGGAACAATGATTCTTAGTATGTTAAATAAAAAAATTTAGGAGGACGAGGAACAAATTTAAATGTCAATCATCTCCCAGTGTACTATGGAATGATTACACCATGCCCCCCCTACTGCTAAAATGTGTGTGCGTGGGTGTGCAAGTTTTGTCCACATCCTGTCTTCTTCTCACTCTAATTAACATCCTTCCTGTATTTGCCAGACACAGACATCCCATGCCTCACAGTACCATGTTGCTGTGACAAGACACTGCTCCCCTACCTGTGCCTCATTGTTCATCTTGAACCCTAGTTCAGATATTTCATTGTTTTCTACACTTTAGACCCTAAAGCCTGCCACTGCTTAATGAGTATCATATTCTAATTTTTCCCTTATGTATATAAATCGTGAAAGTTATTGATCTAAGGAGATTTTCATGAGACGAAAAACCAAATGTGAAATTTTGTGATTTCACTGTTTTAATGAGTTTTTATAGTTAAAAGTAAACATTTTAAGCATTAATTAGTTTAATAGGAGTGAAAGAGTGAAAAAGGGCAAGAGATGGTTTAAACATGAATAATAGGGATCGTGATTCTCTTCGTCACCTTATTTTTATTTTCGTTTATTACTTAATAACTGTGTCATATCAAACATTAGAATAACGTGACAGAAGCATGAAACCATGACTTAGAATCATATCAAACATTCATCTCTTCTCCCTTCTCAGTATCTACACCAAAAGAGGTGTCTGCAAAACATGTTCCTCAAGTTTCTTTATATGAAGACTAATCGACGCATGTCAAGACAAAAAACGATCAAGATGTACTCTTGTTTTCTTTTAATTGTTGAAACATATATATATTGGGAAAACTTTGAAAAATGGGAAGGAATGGTCTCATCTCATGTCCCTCAAAGTTTAGGACGATATAATTTCGGGGCATGAACCTACGTGAATATGCCAACTGTGAAAAACAGCTTTTTTTACCACGTCCCTCGTCAAGAACTGCACTGTTATTTTCTCCCCACGCGCTCTGAGATTTCAGTTTGCTCAAGAACAATGGCATGAGAAATTGAAACTGGTGCATAGTGTGTACCAACAATAATAGAGGTCCATTTTGCGAATAGTTTTCTACGTTGTGTTTGTTTCTAGTGTATTGGGTCAGAAGCAGTTGCGTTCAGATCTGCACATTCCCTGAAGCAAAAGAGTTAATGCATGACATGCACTGAAGCGAATCATGGTCGTTTAAATGTGTGAAAGTGATTGTTCAAGCCTTGGAGAAAGGTGTATGTTGCTGTGTTATTAGTGCCAGCGTGAAGAAAAACCAGTGTTATGATTAATTGTTATCTCATTTTATCTGATATGTCTAAATTAAGACCCTTGCCTTGTCCTTATTCATCACTATATTCTTCCCACTTCACCAAAGGAAAATGCAGGTAGTACTATTATATATGTTATTATGGCCATTTCCATAATTTTAAAAGTAAATTGGATCATTTGGTGCACTTTCTGTTATGTGTATATATATATATATATATATATATATATATATATATATATATATATATATATATATATATATATATATATATATATATATATATATGTTATATGACTTATCTTTTAAATTAATTTGGGATTCTTATTAATGATTTTTAACAATTCCATAGAAACGTTCTTATATTATGAGAGCTAAAAGTTTAAATTTTTGAATTAAAAATAAAAAGTTATTAAAAAAAATCTCATATCATTCTCATTGAATCATTTGATATGATAACAAAATAGAACTCTCAATAAAAAAAATTATTCTTCGCTTTTAAGAAAATTTATGTAAAAAATTACAGTAATATTTTTTTACCAATAAACATATTTTAGTTGATTTTAATAATTATAATTCTCATAATTCACCCTTTTTAGGAAACATAATTTGGAATGTTAAAAAAAAAAAATCCTTCACAAAGCAAACATGTAAGCAATTTATAACCAAAATTGTAATTTACAATCTCTTGATTTTTTTTTTCTCTACATTCATTGATTGTATTAGTGATGGTTAGTCAGACAACCTATTATTCTTAATTATTTTTTAATAATCTTTTTATATGTTTTTATTTTATTTTCTTTATATTTTAAAGATCACTCTACCCAGACAAACAGAATTCAGAATCTATTTTAGTATAAAGTTTGTCTTGATGAGTTTTTCCATAATAATAATAATAACTATTTCTTAAGTTAAAATAAACTCAACGTTAATTTTAATTATAAGTCCTTATAAATAAAATAATAACATTTAATATATAATATAAAATCACATATAAATAAAAAATCTTTTAGGAAAAAAAAAGTTACTGTCCGTTGGTAATGGAAATGCGAAATGGTTTCAACTTTCCAAGTCAAAGTTCATTAACGAGTGAGATGAGATAAATTGGGCTGGTTCTACTATGGGCTTTTGTTATTTACACTCTTCAATATATCTATATATACTTGCCTTTCCTTTATTTTCTTATTACTAAATATACCCTTTTATCTAATAATAAATAAATAAATCCTAAATCCTTTCTAACATTTTTTATATTAAATATTTGTAAATTTTATTATAATTCAATTCAATTGTTTATATAAAATATTTCATTACATTCTTTATTTTCATGCACACAAAATTGGGCTATATTTCATTATTTTAGTTATTCAAAAAATAGATTTCAAGAGAATTTCTGTAAGTAACTTATAGAAAAATGTATATCATAAATTATTCGAAAAACACTTTTCGAAATTGTTCAAATGATAAAGAAATGTTTTTTTTTTAAATAAAGTATACTTTAAAAGGGTTGATTAGTTTGTATAACTCTCATGTGCTGATAAGGTTGAAATTACGGATGTTCATCTCTTTGTCAGAAAAGAAAAATAAAAGGAGGAAGAGGGGTGAATAAAAAAGAAAGGTAAAAGAAGCAGAAAAATGAAAATTTTGAAATAAATGAGTGAAAGAGACGAGGATAATAAAATAATATTACATAAAAAAAATAATTTAGCAAGTAGGGGAGTGTAAATTAAAATTTATGATAAATTTGTGCACAACCCAAATAAATATTTAAACCTTCTCCTATAATTTTTGTGCACAACCCAAATTCTATTTATCATTTTTTTTAGAATTTCTCCTCTTAATTTTTTTTCTTTTCTTTTTACATTCACAATCACAAAACTTCAGCACGATATATTATACTGATTTTTACATTAAAACGTCAACTAACTATTTTGAAAATTGCAATAATTTATTTATTTAATTACATCAACTCATCTAAAAATAAAAAGAGTAGCGCATTTTAGTAGAGTGACTAATATCTAACAATATTATTTTTTAGATAATAACACTATAATTGATATTTTTAAATTTAATTAACAATGTTATGTGTAATAACTACAGTAATAATTAATGTGTGCAGAAAAGTTATATATATATTTATATAAATACTATATTAATAACATTTAATACTATACTGATATTGGAAAAGAATTCAATTACACTTGTGATAATAAAACAAGTAAGGATAATTTGTTTTTTTTAGAAACTACTCAATGAACGTATTTCAATATTTTTTCTTAATTTCTTATGTATTTTTATATTTTTTAATGTGAATTTTAATAATGTAAAAAGATGATCAATAATTAAAAGTAACCTTATATTGTAACATATATTTTAAAATCTTTTAGTGACATAAATTAAATACTTATTCCCTAAATTACATAGAAAATTATTTAATTTTAATAATTTTTAATGTTTATTTTAACTAATGCATAACAAAATAAGTTGCTTTTTGGAGTTTTTATAAATATATATTTATTTATTTACTTTTTTTTTTTTCTGAGAACCAATAAATAAGTAGAGTATTATTGATAGTCAAGAAGAAAGAAGAAAAAACTATCTGAAACGGTGTTGGATCGGGACAGGGGACAGAAGAGAAGCGCAAAGTAGACAAACCAAACCATCTTCGTTCTAGTTCTATTCAGAATGTGCTAAAATTTGCTCCATTCTCATCTCAACCCCAAACCAAAACCTCTCTTCCTGTATCTCACTCACACTCCTCTCTTCTCTTTTCTCTCTCTCTCTCTCTCTCTATATATATTCATGCAAAGCAACGATTTCATATTCTAATCGCTTCACTCCAGGTTCTACATCTTTCATCCTTTTCCATTTTTTTTTTTTTGGATTTCAATTTTCGATTCTCCTCATTTGCTGATGCTGTTTGGACTCGCCGATTATGTTTGAATCCGGATTGGTTTTGAGGTTTGGCGTGTTTTCGATTGCAACATTCGATTTCACCACCACCGATTCATGGCTATTTTAAAAAATTAAGAATATAAGAAACTGCGGAAATGAAATAGATACAGACTTAGCCGGTGATTGATAGCGTTTGTTTGTTATAGATAATAGGATGATTAAATTTCATGTGTTGCGACCCTTGTTAGATGGTTAGGTTGATCTTTTGAATGCTGAAGTTGGCAATGAATAGGTTTTTGGAATTTGGATAACTGGCTACTTTTTATTATTTATTTTAGCTCTATTTTGTTTTGGTGAATATGCGCTTGTTTGAATCAGGGGCAGGATGAATTTTCCCTTGGACAGTGAGGATCCAGCTATACTTCAATTGCACGATTGGGACCTGTCTGAGACCCGAATTGGGCTTTCGGACTTTCGTGAAGCTTTTATTTCTCCTACAAGAGAGATACTGCTTTTGCATTCTCATGAAAGAGAAGCTCTTTTACTTCCTCTGGGTAAAGGTACTTTCTGTTTTCCTTTATTCGTAATTTAGCTTGGGTGTAACTGAATCCTGTATTTGGATTAGTTGAATGCATGTTCTAATATGTTCATTGACTTTGTTGCTCCCAGGAGAGTTCCATTCTGGTGGTGCTGAAGGGCACAATGATTCCAATAAACACAATCCAGCTTCATCTAATGTTTGCTTGGAGGCATCTACTAGGCCTAGTAGTTCGGGTTTGGGGAATGATTCACCTTGCACTACAGGGTCAGATATTGATACTGATTTTACTGGAATTAAATTTTCAAGGTCCAATAGTTACCCATACATTAGTGATGTGAACTCGTTGGCCTGGGCACGTTGTGAGGACAGCTATGATCAGCACAATGATGTTTCATTTAGAGAAGTTCTATTTGTTTCTGGAAGATGTGGGGTAACAGTCCATGCTTTTCCCAAACTAACTAAAACCAATGCAATAGATAACGCCATGTTAGAGGGTAAATTTAAGCATGGAAGGTGGGTGGAATGGGGCCCCATTGCTACATTATCTTCCAACATTAGTCATGGAGTCTCTGGAGGTGAGAATGTAAATTTGAGTGGTGGAGATGGTGGAGTTCAACTGTTAAGTGACTCTGCTACTAAGAGATACTTGGAGTCATTTTTCACAAAAGTTGAAACTATTGCATCTGACGGTATTCTACGGACCAAATTCCCTGAGAATGATGGATTTCCTTGCTCGACGAAAGTGGTTTCTTTTAGCATGTTTGATGGCACTCTATCTTTGGACCATCTCCTCAGAGAAAAATCAGTCCAAGGCAAGGAGAATGGGCAGGAACCAGCTGATTCAGTAAAAGACGATTCAGATATTAAGCTTGATTTTTTTTCCAGTGTATTTGGTATTGTGGTTAATGGGTTCTATGAATGCCCCAAAGTGTTCTCAAGTGCTTCAAATTGCTTGGTAGGATTTCATTTTACATTAATGCATCACGTGTCTGTGAATATTAGTGATGCAAATCAAAGATGCAGGAACAGAAATTTACTACTTGTTGCCAAATTAGATAGTTGGGGTATTCAGTGGGTTTCAATGGTGAAGCTTGATGAAAGAATAAACATTGTCCAGGCAGTTGAGTGGATGGATTTCGAATTTTCTGATAATCTTCTTGTCTGTCTTAATTCTTCTGGATTGATTGTTCTCTATTCTGCAATGTCCGGTGAATATGTGACACACTTAAATGTTTTACAGACATTTGGACTTAACCCTCATTTTGATTTGCAAGGGTTAGAGAATTTGTATTCAAATGATGATGTATATGCAAAACAGGAGTGTGGCATTAAGGATAACATGTCTGATCAGAACAGTAATTCTTTTAAGAGATCATTCAAGAGGTTAGTTGTAGCTTCACATACCTCCCTGTTAGCCGTGGTTGATGAATATGGCTTGATCTATGTGATACCGTTAGGGGAATATATTCTTGACAAAAATTACTCTTCAGAGAAGTTGCTTCCATACTGTCATCAATTTGGGTTGGGAATGTTAGTTGGCTGGGGAGTTGGTGGTTCTGATATAGATCGCCAAGCAGTATACTCCAATTTATCTGTATGTTTTCAATCAAGTGATTTAAACATAAAATGTGGAAGTTTTGCATCCTCTGACAAAGCTGTGGCAGATAATTCACTCCAGAATATTAATGGCTGTGCATTCAAACAAAAGGGGGATTTGTATGGTAACAAATTTCATGGTTATGATGTCAAGTCACCTGTTATGAGAAAGATACTCATTCCCAATTTTAGAGTCTGTGAGGATGATTCAATTTGTTTTTCTTCTTGGGGAATTACCATTTTCTCTAAAAAGAAGTGTGGAAAGAATCCGAATGGTTCTCAACTTATCCATTTTAATCTGCAATTGAAGTCAGAAGTCCATGATGACAATTTCATAGACAGTGTATACGATGTATACCACTTTGATGGAAATGATGTTGCTGGCGAAGCAATTGGTTGCACATTCCAAGGTTGTTTTTATATTGTGAGAGAAGGTGGTGTATCAGTATATATACCCTCCATTTCAATTTTATCAAATTTTCTTCCTGTTGAGTATATTGGTTATGGCCAATCAAGTAAGGATTTAGGGATTTCAGTTCTACTTAAAGACAATCTAGAAATAAAAGAACCAGCCAAAAGGTTTTCTCCTTGGAAAGCTGAAATTTTGGACAGAGTTCTTCTGTATGAAGGCACTGAAGTGGCAGATCAATTGTGTTTGAAAAATGGTAAGTGTTACACAGCAAAATAATTTTCTCGTACTTTGTTTCTTGCATTAATCACTTAATTTGAATAAAATATTACCCTTCATTAAATGACATTTTTGAAAATACAGTTGTTCTAGTCCAACTTCTGTACATAAAGACCTTTTGATATTTTACTGCGTTAGGAAAATTAGGGCTAGCCAGCCAGGTGAATTAGGGCATGATTATTTGCATTATCTTTGTTAACATCTTCATATGGACCAATGGCAGTTCGCTTGTCCTGAGTTGCGGATTTTGGTGTTTTTATCTTGCCTTTTGTTGGCAAAACTACCTCTATTTCAAGATTATTATTACTATTATTATTATTATTATTATTATTAGTAGTAGTAGTAGTAGTAGTAGTAGTAGTAGTAGTAAGTTGAATAAATTAGACTGATTATTATCATTGTTCTTATTATAGAATAAAGCTTATGGTGATATAATTTTTTCTGGCTTTTAAAATTTCATGTGTGTATAATGGGGTGGTGGTGACACACTGCTTTAGAATTCAGTGAAACTATTTAGGTGCTTGATTATTTATTTATTTATTCTGTCAGGATGGGACATCAAAGTTTCTCGCATTCGTCAGTTACAAATAGCATTGGACTACTTGAAATTTTATGAAATAGAAAGGTAAGCCAAAATTTAGTCAATGCAAACTTGATTTATACTCCATTTGCTTTGAAGTGGCCATCTTGTGCCATAATCTGTGGTCATGCTGTTGATAGTATTGTGTTTGAGGAAGAAGGGTATGACGTGTGGGGGGAGGGTTAATATCAATGATATTAAACTTAGACCATGTATCAACATGGTTGAGGTGTTGGATTAGTGGCTTACTAATTTAACTATTGAGTCACAGGATACACTTCAAATATAATTTAATTCAATTACACATAATCTTTTGCAACGTTATTATGTGTAATATATTACATTTTTGTTTCTTTTATAGTTTAACAGTATGAAGTAAAATGAAATCACTAGCTCTAAAATGTATCATTGACACTATTTGAAGTATATTATTAAACAAATTTGAAGAGACAAGTCCCATACAGCTTAGGAATGAGGCAACAAATTAGTATTTGAATAAAATATACAGTTTTTAATATCACTATTAAATTTAGTTGTTTTGCAGCGGTTTGGGTTTGCATAGCTAGCAAAATTATACTTCTCAGACAGTACTATCAATTAGGATTAACTGTGGTCACCCCCAGCTGGCCTTAATTGCCAGCATTTTTGGAGCTTCTTCATTATGCTGTGTGAGGGATTATGTTTAGTGTCACATTACTGGCTCATCACTCACTGGTCAAACTGGCTGGTTGTATTTGGGTTTTATAACATTAATATTAATAAAAGAACGGGTAAAACCATTAGTGTTAGTTGTCCATCTAGCAAACAACCTAGGAAGCATGTGGCAGAAACTGTAGAGTTTGCAAAGAGAATATTCACAATGTGAAGTGGAAATATTGGTTGGGTATCAGCATTTTTTTTAGTGGATATTTCTCCTCATTCAGTACAGTTTGTTCAGTATTATTATTTAATATCTTATCTCTGGTTGTTGTCGACATGAACAGATAATTTGATTGTATTAATTCGTACCTAGTGGGAAAAAGGCTTTTGTTGTTGTATTAACTATAGTGGCATTGAGATGTTCCTTTGGTCTGCACTGGGAGAGAGGAGGAACAGGGACCTTCTTGTTAGCTAGGAGGTTTAATGTGGCATAGTGGTTGGTCTACAGTTTAGGAATGACAAAACAGGTCGTCTGTCCTGTCTATAGCCTGCAAAAATGGAGCGGGGCGGACTATTCTGCCATAGTTAGGATGAGCTAGATAGTCCGGCTGGCCCCGCCAAAGGTTGGGTGATGGGTCAATTTGTCAATAATTTTTTTTTATATGTATTTATTTAAAAATATACCTTTAATTATATGAATAATTTTTTAAGTTTTTATTTATTAATATTTTTATTAGATAAATTGAAAAATTTCTAGATTTATGTGTTAATATAATTAATTATAATCAATAATTTAAGCTTAATTGATTACTTTTTATAATTTAAATTATAATATTATAGTATATTTATATATTTTAATAACATGACAAAAAAATGTAATATTTTTAATTATAATTCTTTTTATTTTAATTATAAAAGATATAATTTTTTTTAAAGCAAGCTAGCCTGCCCTGCCTCTGGCCCTCTAGATTGGCGGGTTAGGTGGGGTGGACCAAAATGGGCTGGTGGCTAAAACTACAAACCCGTCTCACCATTTTTGAGGTGGGCGGACCAGTCGGGCCTAACCCATTTTATCATCTTTACTGCAGTTTGATCATTGAACTATATAATGCAAGCACACACTCCTTTGTGTGGAGAGAGAATAGGAGGGGAAGAGTAAGGGATCAGTGTAAAACTTTTTAGTAACTTTGGTTATAAAGCTTCTTATAAATGGTGCAAACTAATTTTTAAAACCTTATCACGTGCCATTTTCTGATTTTATTCTCCTTTAACAATATTCATTTTTTATTTAATCTAGCAAATTGTGAACCATATTCTGTCTCCTTCATGAAGACCATCATTTATCAAAAATCCATTTCCCTCCAACTCCTGCAACTCGAACATATCCTTGGCCAAAATGTAATCACCAAATGGGGTTGTTATAAAAGGGTTTTCCCTTAACTGTTGCAAATCACCTGTAAAGAGTTAGGAAGTTAGTTTAGGTAAGTTATAGTAGTTAGTAGAAGGGGTTGATTAGCTAGTTAGAGAGGGTTTGTGAGGTAAATAAATAAAGAAGGAAGTAGGCATTAATATTGTATCAGTTGTAGCTTGAGCTTGTGCTCTTTATGAATGGAGAAATCTTTTGTGAAGGGGACCCTTGGAGGAGAGATCTTTCCCCTTTGTTCTGTCAATTCAATAAAATCTTTCATTTCCTTTACCCATTTTGTTCTGGGTTCATTTTGTAACACCTCCAGTGTTGATTGCATTGCTGCCACTATTTGAAAATTCTGTTGTTTCCTTTCTGTAGATATTGGATTTGAAAATAAAAAAAAATTAAAAGATTAAATAAGGATATCTTATTAAGTATTTTTATATGGATATTATTAGTACGAGATTTGAAGGTTAAATTTATATTATTATACATTACAGTTACTTTGACCACTCTGAGAGTGTAGTTGGTGTCATCATTGCCAGCATTAACATAGTGAGGAAACTTGGGTATGTTATGATTTCTGGGCAACTACTGACCTTATGGTGAATACTTTATGCCTAGCTTTGGATAATGCCGGATAATGCAGTTTAGCTGGTTCAGTCTCTTTTATCAGTATTTATTTTATTCAGAAAAGAATGGAGAGGATATGACGTGATATGGATAATAATATAATTTGAGGAATATATTGGAAAAACTTGTGTGAAAGTAAAACTATCATTAAATGGAGAGTATACAGATGAGATAAGAAGAGAAAGAGTAGGTGATACTGTAGGAGAATAAAAACAGTCAACAGAAAGTGAACATAAATTAAAGTAATTAAGACCATTGGATGAATGTCCTGTCCCACCCTCTTCTCCTCTCTCTCTCTTCTTGTACCCAACTCTTTTGAATCATTTGCTATACTTAACATAAAGTAAAAGAGAGAAAATAGTTTTTAAAGGGTTTAATCACACCTCTAACATGATATCTTATTTATAATGATAAGAACATATACACTGAGTAGATGTAAGGTTAAGAGGCAGAATAGTGAGCTAGAAGACATAGGTACAGTGATAGGTACAACTAATTAATAATTTCAACAACTAATTAATAATTCCAACACTTTTCCTCAAGCTGGACTATACATATGGTATGTACCAAACTTGAAACAAATAAACTCAATCTGAGAATCTCTTAATGATTTTGTTAACACATCTGCAAGTTGGTCATTAGATCCAATAAACTCAGTACAAATTTCCTTAGTCACCAACTTTTCCCGAATGAAATGATAGTCAATCTTAATGGGTTTTGTTCTCTCATAGAATACTAGATTAGAGGCAATGTGAAGTGCAACTTGATTATCACAGTACATTTTCATGGTATGGATCTCACAATTTAAGCTCTTGAAGGAATTGTCTCATCCATACAAGTTCGCAAGTAAAAGATGCCATTGCCTTATATTCAACTTAGACAGTTGATCGGGCCACAACATTCTGTTTTTTACTTTTCCAGGAAACATTATTTCCTCCAAGAAAAACACAATACCTTGTAGTAGAGCACCTGTCAAAAGGCAAACGAGCCCAATCAACATCACAATATCCAAATATTTGAGTGTTGTTCCTATCTTCATATAACAAACCTTGTCCTAGAGCCTTTTTCAAATACTTCAAGATATGAATGATGACATTCCAATGGTCAATGTAAGGAGCCTGCATGAACTGACTCACAACACCAATTGCAAAAGACAAATGAGGTATAGAAATGGTAAGAAAAATAAGTTTTCCGACAAATCTTCTACATCTTTCTGGATAGAGAATGGTTGACCTTGTTCAATCTTTAGTTTTTGCATATCTAGTGCATATTTCCTTTGAGATATTGCAACACCTTCTCTTGATTGACTTACTTCAATACCCAAAAAGTAATTGGAAATCCTAAGATCTTTGGTTTGAAAATGCTTGCACAAGTGTTATTTTAATTGAAGAGCGACGTAATTTACAAACCAAGGCTGACTCCCCACTGAGCAACCAATCCATGAGGTTGCTTCATATAAATCTCCTCCTTCAAATCGCCATGAAGAAATGCATTTTTGATATCTAATTGATGAAGTGACCAATGACGAATAGCTGCCATAGCTAAAATTAAACGAATAGTACTCATTTTGGGCACTGGAGAAAAATTATCGCAATAATCAAGGCCATAAATTTGAGTGTATCTTTTAGTAACTAAGCGTGCCTTGAGACGATCGACTTTATCATTTGATTCAATTTTAATAGCATAAAACCAACGACATCCTACTGTTTTTTCCAGATGGAAGGAGTACCAAGTCCCATGTGTGATCTGATAAGAGTCTGCATTTCAACAATCATGGCTTGGCGCCGTCCAGGGTGATCAAGTGTTTCATTCACATTTTTGGGAATAGTATTGGAAGACACTGATGATAAAAAAGAACAATACGAAGGAGACAACCTGTAATAGCTAAGAAAATTATAAATCGGATGAGGGTTACAAGTAGAGCGAATACCTTTTTTTATGGCAATGGGTAGGGAATCATTAGGTTGAGGAACGAAGAGGTCTTACCTTGGACCGTCGCACGAGTAGTTTGGTTCCAATGGTGGTAAGTAAGAAACACAGGTGGTGCCGGTGCAGGGGAATGGATGATAGGATCGGGATCATCTAAGGCACTAGGGACAATTGACCCAACTAATGGAATAGGTAGAATCTCTTGGATGGAAGTAACATCTTGAACATATGAAGGGAAGAAAAGAGTATGTTAAAAGAAGGTGACACTGGTAGACATGCAGTATTTATTTGTTTCAGGAGAGTAACACCAATATCCTTTTTGATGACGAGAGTAGCCTAGGAAGACACATAGATTGGGCATAAACTGTATCTGAAGATAAATTATGAACAAAACATACACAACCAAACACATGAGAAGAGATATGGAAGAGAGGTTCTTTGGGAAAGAGAATGGAATAAGGAATCATATTATTGAGAGAAAAAGATGACATTCTATTAATAAGAAAACAAATAGTTAGAACAACATCACTGACCAAGTAATAGGGTGCGTGCGATCAGTCTCAATCAAGTGTACATTTTTTCTTTCAACAATACCATTTTGTTGAGGAATATGAGGACATGTGGATAGGTGTAGAATGCGATGTGAATTTAGAACAACAGAAAAATGAGAGGAGAAATATTCTTTGGCATTGTTACTTAAAATTTAATTACTTGACCAAATTGATTTTTGATTTCATTCGAGAAGGACACAAAGATAGGTAACAATTTTGAATGATCTTTCATGAGATAATCCATGTACATTTGAAATATTCATTAATGAAAGTAACAAAATATCTGAAACCAAAAGATAAGACATGGCTGGGCCCCTAAATATTAGAATGAATAATAGAAAAGACAAAATTATATCTTGACTCAGATTTCTTTGGAAAAGATGATCTAACATGTTTGCCTAATTGACATGACTCACATTTCAACATTTGGAGACTACTAAGTTCAGGAACCAATTTTTTTTAATTTTGACAGGCTGGGATGACCCAAACGATCATGTAACAAATTGGGGTTTTGAGGTACATAACAAGACACAAGTGGCCTATCTCCAAAATAGTATAAACTTTTAGATTCATGTCCTTCTCTAATTAGTCATCCCGTACCACATTGCTGTATAACAAAAGAATTGACATCAAAGGTTATTGAATAATTTAAAGACTTTGTTTAATTGACTTAATGAAATAAGATTAAAAAGACAAGAAGGGACAAATAAAACAAATTTTAAATTTATAAAAGGTGAAAGAGAAACTTGACCCACTCCTTCGGAAGGAGCTTTAGAACCATTGGCGATGCATTACCTGAAATGTGGTAAGAAGCACTTGAATCGATTATCCATGGATTTTGATTTTCTACATATTGTGAAATGGAAATTGTTGATGGATTAGAATTTAATGACTGTGTTAAGTTATTGGATTTCAACCTAAGATATTCCTGATACTCTTCCTTAGAGAACTTGGGCTCAATAACTTCAGTCTTAGTGATATTGACTGTCTTACTAGAAAAGCCATGTAATGTAAAACAATTCTCTTGAATATGACCCATCCTTTTATAGTGTGCACATTGAGGGCGCCCTCGACCACTCCTTCCTTCTCTAGCATTACGTCCTCCTCTGCTATGGTAGAAATCATGATAGAAGATTTCATAGTCTCTTGGAGGTTCTTGTTTTGACTTGGAGTAACCCAAAGAAGTCTTGTAGTCAAACTTTCCATCGATGAGACTTTAGGATTTGTTAATAGTTTATCTCTGACATGTTCAAAATTTGGATGTATGGCACGAAGAATCATAACCATATAGAATTTATCCAGCTTCTTCTAATGACACATCCTCCAAGAACATCTTTAGTTCTTCAATAGCAGATTGAGCTTCACCCGTGAAAGTCATCATTTCATGGTCTGATTGTTTAAGAGAGGCAAGTCTATTGGCAGAATCATAGAGGTGCTGAATATCATTTGCGAAAGTATTCTGAGCCTTTTTCTAAAAGGAATGACATGTTTTAAACGTTCTAAGAGTTCCCAACAACTTTGGTTTCACAGATTTCCACAATAATGCACAGATCTGGAAATCAGTTTGTTTCCATTTTTCGACTTTATGAGGTGGTACCTTACTCCCATCTTGTACAAGGTGATCATGGAATGGAGACCTTGGCCAAGGAACCATAGTTCAATTGAGACAGATCATGATAGATAATTTTTTCCATTTAACTTTTCAGCGGTAATTGAAGGAGTTCCTTCCTGAGAAGGATAACATAGGTATAGAGGACATTTTTGATAATATCAACTTGCAGCTTTACGTTTAACTTAGGAAACCTAGAAACAAATCTTCAAGTAAGCTGGAAAGTGGGACCCAATGATTGGAACAGGGCCTGGGAGGTCCAATGATAGATGGCGGACAGTGGCGGCGGACAGTGGCCAAAGATGACTACAGATCGCAGAGCGGGTTAACCCGCTCTGATACTAACTTAAGATAAAATAAAAAAGAGAAAATAGTTTTTAGAGGGCTTAATCACACCTCTAACATATGATAGATGGAAGGTCAAGGGACATAATTGTGAGCTAGAAGATATAGGTAAAGAGATAGGTACAACTAATTAATAATTCCAACAGCTACCTCTATATTCCAACTTTTCTGCATTTTACTGCTAGTTGTTTGAATTAGAGCTGAACTGTATGCTTTCTCCATCCACCTTAATATTTGGCTGCTTGGGAATGAAGCTCTTTAGCATTTAATGAGATATGCTTGTTGAATGTTCAACACAATAAATTTGTCTTCCCGTTTTCCTTGAGAAATGTACAATCAATAATAATTTGAATATGTGGGGAAGAAGGTTCAATGGATGATGGTTGTGGTAATAGGGTTTGACTCTGATGGGTTCATTGCCTATACGTGGGTTGTGTACATTAAATAGTGGGAAGTTTGGTGACTCTTGGAGACTGTTTGCACAAGTTTTTTATGAAATGAAAGGAAAGTAAAGTGAGTCAAATCAGTCTAGATGTTCTAATACTCTGAGATCTCGAAATATGGATGCAACAGTAGATAGGATTGCACAGAGAAAACTTTCAGGCTTGGGAAAAGGGATGGAGTGGCTCATTTGACTACTGTAATCTTAATTGTTAATTTTGATTAAAGGGTTGTGAGAACTTCCTTTTTTTGTTCTGCTTATTTTAATATTTTTTGAAGCATATGCACCACATAGTTGATTATTATTCTTTCTAGAAGCTTTAATCATGTGTGGCAAGCCACACTAGATCTGGCACTCCTATATCAACACGTATCCATTTTTAATTGTAATTTTTGGTATAGTTTGGACTATGCAAATTTAATTGTCACTTGTACTAAAATGATTCAGAGGAAGTGATGTTATAAACGAGATGTATTACAATAATGTGTTTTTTCTGTAGGTTTTCAGACATGTTAGCAACATATACTCTCTTAGACATTTTTTGTTATTGGCTGAAAACTAATAAATTTCAGCAATACTGGAGAATGTGCTAGAAAAAAGTGTTAGAAAGTGTTGCTAGCACTCTTTAGTTTTTTTCTATGGCAAATATTATCTAATGAAATTCACTTTCCAGTTTTATTAATGAACAGATCTTTGGAAATGCTTGGGGATGTTGATCTAGCAGAAGAGGGGATTTTGAGATTGCTTTTTGCTGCAGTGTATCTTATACTTAATAAAAGTGGTAATGATAGTGAAACTTCTGCTGCTTCAAGGTAAATTTATCTGCTCATTGGTCACATACCTATATTTTTGTTCTTTATCATTTTCAAACCAATTTGCTACTTGATAGGTATTAAATCTGTCAAGAATTCTCATTCATTATTAAAGAAGATTACAAAGAGTGCGTAAATCTCTTATAGAACCCTTACTTATATGAGCAAAGGAATACTGCAATAGATAGGAGAACAATAGGCAATTCAGCTACCTCATTTGACAACAAAGCATATTCTTTTTTAATTCTGACGTTTGACATGTTATTTTGTTCAACATCTTTAGGCTTCTTGCACTGGCCACTTGCTTTGCAACAAAGATGCTTCATAAATATGGGTTGCTTCAACATAAGAAAGATACATTCATAGCAGAGAGCTGTAACAAGACAACATTACTTCCTCTTCCACCAATTGAACCAATTGAACTACAAACTGAGGTGGATTTTACTCAGAAACTTTGTGAGATATCTCATTTCTTGGAGATCATCCGAAATCTGCAATGTAGACATAGATCAATATTTCAAAGGGCCAGTCAAGGATTGGTATGGTTCTCCATGGTTATGCTATTTATATTTTGCTTAAATTGGTTGCATTGTTTTTTCAGAAAAATTAAGTGGTACCTTATTGCTTCTATACAGGCTGACAGTGGAGAAGAGTCCTCTTTAATAAGTACAGACATGTTGCAGGAAGATTCCCAACTTTCAGTTCTTCCATCAGACTTAGAGTCATTGGATGTGTTGAACCAACAGGAAATTTCTTTTCCTCTTCCAGGCAGTGACAATAATGAAAATCTTGCCCTAGTGTCTGTTGATTCCGATTCTCATTTGGTCTCAGATGAATTTGGCAACATATCTCATTTAACCTCGTTAGGTGGAATTTTAGGCAAGAAGGTGTTGCCTGTGGAAAATCCTAGAGAGATGATGGCACGGTGGAAGGTTGAGAACCTGGACCTTAAGACTGTGGTTAAGGATGCTTTGCTCTCTGGTCGTCTTCCTTTGGCAGTTCTGCAACTGCATCTTATTAATCAATTGAATGATTTTGTTGCTGACAACGAGCCTCATGATACATTTACTGAAATTCGTGACATTGGCAGAGCTGTTGCTTATGAATTATTTTTGAAGGTAATGAATGTAATAATCTCATTAGCTGTTACAAATTACAATGAAAATAACAAACCAATGCAATGATATAGGGTGAAACTGAACTTGCTGTTGGTACACTTCAAAGACTTGGAGAGAACATTGAATCTTGTCTTAAACAACTTCTGTTTGGCACTGTAAGAAGATCCCTGCGAACCCAGATTGCTGAGGAAATGAAAAGATATGGTTATCTAGGACCATATGAGTGGAAGATATTGGATGATATGTCACTGATTGAGGTAAGTGGAATTTAATTGTCTTATTTTTATGGTCAATGTAGAGCTGTTTAACTAGTGGGAAGAGAAATTTCTATGAGCTGATACTTGTATTCTTATTTGTCCCTGTGCATGTATATGAGAAGAGTCTCTATCCTAGCAGTAGCTTCTGGAAAACTTATAATCGCCGACTGAAAGATATCAGCAATTCATCAGACCCTGTTTTACCAGTGGAAAATCAATTAAGGCTCTTGGATAACCATTCATTTGATAGTCCTGTCATTGAATGTGGTGAGATAGATGGAATTGTCTTTGACACATGGATAAATATTAGTGAAAGTTCCTCTGCAGTGGAAGTTGATCAACATGATTCTCCTGTTGGATATTGGGCTTCTGCTGCTGTCTGGTTTGATGCCTGGGATCAAAGAACTGTTGATCGTGTAAGATGCTTCTCTGTTCCATGTCCGCATGTTTGTATTGATGTTAATTTTTATCACTTAATTTCTATGAAGCCAATGATGATTAGCATCTGTCCTTGTCTTTTGAACTGTCTAGATTGTGAATTTAAAACTGATTTCATAGTTGTCATTTATTAAATGATATTGTGAATTTCAGTAAGAACTCTTGAAATTATGTGTTCAATATTCCTGTTGGATCATGTGAAGCAAAAGTGCTTTTGTCTTCTTAGAAATTTGATTTGATGTGCATGTATCTATTTTTTTCTTGAAGTTCACTAGTTTACCAACTTCAACTAGACCTTTATCAGATCTATTTTCTAGGTGAAACTTGTTTTGGTTTGAATATCAAACCAAAGATTTCTATACTTAGAACTAAAATTACCGCTGAAATGAAAGTTTACTTCCCCTTATTAAGTTCAGTCATTACACTACTCTTAGTCACTATTTTAATGTCTATACCTCTTCAAGGACATATATCTTTATCTTTAGTAACATTATTTTTCATTATTCATTCATCTCTGAGCACAGATGATATTGGATCAACCTTATCACTCGAGCAATTCTATGTTGTGGGATTCCCAACTTGAATACCATGTTTCCCATAACAACTGGAAGGAAGTGTTTAGACTGTTGAACTTGATACCTACATACGTCCTATCAGCTGGAAGCCTTCAACTGAATTTGGATGTTTTGCAACCCGCCTCATCCTTTGGATGCAATATAAATATGAAGTCTTCTAATTATGGAAGTTTATTGTGTTCATTTGAAGAATTGGATTCTGTATGCATGGAAGTTCCAGATGTCCAAATGTTTAGGTTTTCATCTGACATATGTTTTGGGTGGATGAGGATGCTTCTGGAGGAAAACCTTGCAAGAAGATTGATATTTCTTAAAGAATATTGGGAAGGGACATTGGAGATAATAACTCTCTTGGCTCGTTCAGGTTTCATATATGGCATAGATAAGTTATGCGTAGAGGATGATCTTACTAATATTTCTTTTATGAGCGATGGAGCTGTACAAGCTTTGCATAAAATATTTGTACATCACTGTGCACAATATAACTTGCCAAATCTTTTGGACCTTTACCTTGACCAGCATAATTTGGTCCTTGACAATGGTTCACTTTATGCATTACAGGAAACCACAGTAAGTTTCTTTATGTCCATTCTTTCTTATTGTTTTGTATGTTGATCTATTCTGATTGAATTTTTTGGTCTTTATTATTTCAAATAATGATGCTTGGATGCTTCCATAAGCCGTTGATTAAAATTTGTAGGTTTATGTTTCATAGTTTTTGGTGGTTTTCAATCTTCATTAAATATCTGGTATTATAATACAAGTTTAGTTACTAATTCAGGTAATCTCTTTCTTTGATCAAAGAAGAAATTCCATAAGATGAAGTGAAAAAATATAACAGGAATATGGATGACAGGGGATCCTATATATATAAAGGGAAAAAGGAAAACAAAAGTAGAGAAGAAAACATCAATAGTCCCAAGCTTCTCAATCCCTGTGAACATAAGAAGCTCTTAAGTTGTGGGCATCGAAGATTCCTTATTTCCCATGCATTGGTTTTTTCATCATCTATTCTTCAAAACCTCTATGTTAACGTGAATGTCTTTGCTTTTAATAGGTTTTAGTGTTGTGCGTTGATACACATTGCTTCTTAACAGGTTGATTGTGAATGGGCAAGATGGTTACTCTTATCGAGAGTCAAGGGGTGTGAATATGAAGCCTCACTTGCCAATTCTCGATCGATAATGTCCCGTAATTTAGTTCCTAGAAGTGACCTCAGTGTTCTGGATTTAGATGAAATAATTCGAACTGTTGATGACATTGCTGAAGGAGGGGGAGAAATGGCAGCCTTGGCAACCCTGATGCATGCTGCTGTCCCAATTCAAAGCTGCTTAAATAGTGGTGGAGTAAATAGGCATAGTAATTCCTCTGCTCAGTGCACTTTGGAGAACCTTAGGCCAACTTTGCAAAAGTTCCCTACATTGTGGCGTACACTTGTTGGGGCATGTCTTGGACAAGATACAATGGCCTTGTTGGTGCCTAAAGCAAAAACTGGTTAGCTATTAACCTCATTTGTTGGTAACCCCCCCACCCCTCCCACTTTATTCTCCCAAGTTACTCGGAACTAACCCTATTCTTCTTTTTTTGTCAATTTTTGTCTTTCACAATTTTGCAATGCAGCTTTATCAGATTATCTTAATTGGCGTGATGACATCTTCTTCTCTACCGGACGTGATACTTCACTTCTACAAATGCTTCCATGCTGGTTTCCTAAGCCTATACGAAGATTGATACAGCTTTATGTCCAGGTTTGTTTTATTCTCCTTTTCAATGTGATTTTATCTTATTTAAATTCAAATAATATAAGTCTGTGTTGCTTTTGAAAATACTGTGCTTTATGTGCTCAGTTAGGACAATTTCATCACCAATCTCTTGTTCTCTCCTTCTGTTTATAAATACCTTATGCTGTCATGTTGTTTGGATGCTGTTGCAGACACAATTGGTGTATATGTATGCAATCCAAGTTATGTAGTTTTTCATTACATTACAGGGTCCTCTGGGATGCCAATCATTTTCAGAGTTCCCTATTGGGGAAACTTTGCTACACAGAGACATTGATTTATTCATAAATGCTGATGTACATGCTGAGATAAGCGCAATCTCCTGGGAGGCCACTATCCAAAGACACATTGAAGAACTGTATGGTCCTTTACTTGAGGTACGGGCTTTGAATTTAGTTGTTTGTCATACTTTTATTCTCCTTGTGTCTGTCAGGAGGATTTATTGTGTGCCTTGTCAATTTTGTACTCAATTTTTATTTTGTAATTTTTTCTTTGTTGCAAACTGCTAAGAAATGTTCTACTGCCTAAAGCTTGTTTAGCTATATAGTTTTTTTTGCAGTTTTATTGGTACTATGGACTCCCATTGCAACTTAGTACGAAGAAATCTATTGTCTCGGTTCAACCAGCCACCTAGGTGGTCTGATTATTTAATTTGATTATCCTATGAAATTGATCTTACAAAACCTTGGCTGGAACCACAGATTTAGGTGCACAAGACTAATGTGCGGCTTGTTACAAAAGGAAACATAATTTCCAACAACTCATGAGTTTAGCATGGCGTGATGCAGTTATATGTGCATGACAATTTTGAAATATTGTCAAATAACTTAGGTTGCATAGAGAATTGACTATGGGTATTTTTAAAAATTATTATTTTTATTATTATTATTATTATTATTATTATTATTATTGTTATGTTTTTCTCCTTCTTTCTCTTATTATTAATGTTATTATTGGTCTTCACATGCTGATGAACTGATCTGTGTCCCTATACTCTTCTTATCACAATATAACATGTCCTTCACAACTTGATCTTATTGCCATTGATCACCATTTATATTTATTGCTTCCCATATTTACGAAATAGTAATTGGTTTTACTGTTGGACTGGCACAAAGCAGTTGAAGCAGTGGCCCAGTGACTGACTCCCCTGGTTAGGTTGATGTTGGTTCTGGTTCAGTTCCTATATAACTGAGTTGTTATTTGATTTTCTTCTTGCATCAGGATGATTGCAAGTCATAAGTACTGTAAGGACTGGTAGCATTTTGTAGCCGTTAAGATATGTTTTATTTTCAATTTTTTTTATGTATGTTCCTATGTTTAGGATTTTGGACTGAGGCCCAATCTCTTTTTGTATTCCCTTTCATATATAAATATAACAATACTGATGCCATTTCACATTGGCTTTTCACCCTAAACATTTTTCTCATGTTGGTATCAGAGTGGGTAAAATCCCGCATTGATTTTCTTTCTTACTGGTCATCTTCGACCATCTAGGGCCATTGTCTGCTGCCATTATTGTTGTCAACCGGCACCATTATGATCGATGAAGCTAGGGTTTGATGTGCCTCATGGAGTGCAACCCAACCTCGTAAATTGTGACATCATCTGTTGCTGCACGTTCCCTCACACGTCAGTTGAAGCGTTGTCTATCTCAAGTGAGTGAGTCTCATGCGCTACCTACCAGCAACTAGAATCAAGTTGTGTCACCACTGTTCGTCTAGTCGCCACGTTCTGCCTCTATTGTTGCCCTTCTCCATTTGAAAGTCCTTGAGGACAGGGTCCCGTGCTTTTCTTTTCTATTTAAGGTTTTCCTTCCTTTTATTCTTTGTTTGAGAAGTTTACAACCAACTTTTCTTCTTTTTTAGCCACTCCTACTATTACTAGTACCAAACTCAACTAGAAAAATTGTTTATCTTGGTCTGTCTCAATGGAGTTGTGGTTCTTAGGTCAAAAGGTATCATGACCATTTGGTGACTAAAGCTAGTTTCATTTATAATTCTTAAAGATCTCAGTGGCAAAAGATAGACTTTCAACTCCATGCAATTTTATGGCAGTTAATTGAATTGAAAGTTCTAGAAATTCTTAGGTCCTTTCGAGACTTGCCTCTTCCTTGGGAAGAAAGCACAAGATATATTTGCAGACAATATTAAACGTCTCGCTGCAACTCGAAGGGTAACTTTGCTCAAACATACCAACCATGATATGGTATCTCATGTGGCAAAGGTTAGGGCTGCTGTAGAAGAAGAGGTATCTAGTGGAAAACACCTTGGAAGAACTTAATAAGAAACTTGACAAGCTGTACATGGTCTTGATTTTGAGAAGTTTACATTCTGATTTTAATCATGTACGCGATAAAATCTTGGTTGGTGATCAAGTTCCTTTAATGGATAACTTAGTCATTAGACTTATTTGTGTACCCAACTTGATGAGGGATGAGAGTTAGGTTGAGATTATTGAAACCTGAGCAATGGTTGTACCTCATGGTAGAAGAGGAGATCTTCATGCTCTTATTGTAAGAGAATGAGTCAAACACAAGAAAATTGTTATTCCTTGCATGGATTTCTTGACAAAGTTGCCCATGTTTCTAAATATGAAAAATCAGATTTTAAGATTTCTGATGAAGAGTACTAATTGAGGTTTAAATCTAGGAAGCTCAACAAATAGGGTCAATCTTCTTCAATATCAAGTGTTTTAGCAATATATATTTCTCAATCAGTGGGAGGTCAAAATCTATAGATTCATGATTCAGGTGTGCCAGATCATATCTTTGGTAATAGTTCTTCATTTTCCTTCATGCCTTATCCTAAAATGCCTCACTTGGTTAATGTGGCTAATGGATCCAAAGTACCTCTGAAGGAATTGATCAAGTTCCTTTATCTTTGTCGCAAAATTTAAACTCCTGTATTTTGCATTCCTAATTGTTGTTATAACTTGATTTTTCTAAGTCATTAACTCACTTATTGAATTGTTCTGATTGGAGAAGGACATGAATCACGAGGTTTTTATTACTTGAATCCAAGCCCAATGTGTCGTGTCTTGCTACTCTTGTTCCAAAATTTTTGCATGATTGTTTAGGCCGTCCAAGTTGAAGATGATGGTTCCTAATCTCAAACAACTCTGAGTCTTAGAATGTGAATCTTGTCAATTAAGAAATTTTTTTCCAACATTCATTCTAATATTTGGGGATTGAATCATGTCACCTCTTTTGGTTTTCAATATTTTATAACCTTCATTGATGAATTTTCCATATGTACTTGGTTTATTTAATGAAAGACAAATTTGAGCTTTTATCTATATTTGTGTCTTTGTTTAATGAGATTAAGAACTAATTTGGGAAGATAATTAAAATATTTAGAAGTGATAATGTTAAAGAATATTTTTCTGCTGCATTTTTCTTATTTTTATCTTCCCAAGAAATTTTACATCAATCCACATATACTCACTCCCCATAACAAATGCTACAACAAAAAGGAAGAATAGGCTCATTATTGAATTTGCATACTCTTAAATGTTAATGTTAATGTTTCTGTTAATCATTGAGAAGATGCAATTGTCATAGAATGTTAATGTCTATTGATGTGACCTTCTTTGGGGACACACACTTCTTTTCTTCCCTCATGGAAAAAATTATTCGTATTCAATAAGTTCTCCTTATACCCTTGTGTGATCTACTTATAATACTTGATCCACTCATTAAGATTGGTCTTAATAGTGAAGTGGATTGTCTCAAAGCTTGCTTAGTAGCTAAAGGATATACTCAGATTTATGGTTTTGGCTCTTGTAATACCTTTTCTCCTGTAGTTAAGATTTTCACTATTCGGCTCCTTCTTGCTACTAGCTATTCATCATTGGCCACATCACCAACTTGACATTAAGAATGTTTTTCTTCATGGTGATCTTGAGGAAGAGATTTATATGAAACAATCACCCCGAGCTTAGTTTGGTAAATTTAATCATATTGTGCATGTTTTTGGCTTGAGAAAGGAGTGAGACAACCATTCAATATTTTATTGTCATACTTCTTTAGGGAAATGCGTTTATCTTATTGTTTATGTTGATGATATTGCTATTATAGGCAACGTTTCCACTAAAGATTAGTCAATTTAAGAAACATATATGTTTGGTTACTTTCATACCAAAGATTTTGGTTATTTGAAGTATTTTCTGGGTATTGAAGTGACTCAATCAAAGGAAGGTGTTATCATCTCACAAAGGAAATAGGCTCTTGATATTTAACAAATATGACAAATTGCAAGCCCATTGATAGTTTGATGGATCCAAATCAGAAATTAATGGGAGACAAAGGTGAAATTTTCTCATATCTAAAGAGATATAGGAGGTTGGTGAGAAAACTCATATTTCTCATTATTACTAGATCATATCTCTCTTGTACAGTTGAAGTGGTTAGTGAATTCATTCAAAATCCTAGTGTTCATCACTGGAATGCTTGATTCACATTCTCAAATATGTAAAAGAGGCTCTAGGATAAGGATTGTTGTACAAAGACAAAGGTAATACTCAGATCTTAGGATATTGTGATGCATATTGGGTTGATTATCCAATTGATAGAAGATCTACTACTAGGTATTTTGTAGTTAGAATATGATTTCTTGGAAGAGTAATAAATAAAGTATTGTTGCTTGATCTAGTGTAGAAGTTGAATAAAAAGCTATGACCCTTGCTACGTGTGAGCTTGTGTAGATTAAACAACTCTTTCTAGAATTGAAATTTTGTGATAATGAACAAATGAAGTTGTATTGTGATAATCAGACAATTTTTCATATTGTCTCAAATTCACTGTTTCATAAGAAAACAAAATATATTGAGATCGATTGTCATTTTGTCAAAAAGAAGTTGTTGTCCAAGGAACTTATTACTGAGTTTATGAGCTCTAATGAGCCACTTGCAGGCATTCTAACTAGATCTCCAAAAAGACCTAGGATTAAGTCTATACATTCCAATCTTGGTTCATGAAATCCATATGCTCCAAGTTGAAGGGAGTGTTAAGATATATTTTATTTTCAATTTTTCTGATGTATGTTCCTAGGTTTTGGGTTAGGGTTTGGCTGAGGCCTAACCTCTTTTTGTATTCTCTCATATAAATATAATAATACTAATGCTATTTGACAGTCTTTTCACCCTAAACATTTCTCTCAAGTATTAGTTCGCAGGAATTTTGTTTGTCTTGCTGGTAGCTATTATGCCTTTTGAAATTTAGACTATGCTGTAAACACGCAAAAAAAAATATTGAATTTCTCATAATTCCGTAGTTGTTAGATAAGTCAAAAGTGTTAGGGACCACCAATCTATCCAAAAGTGAATAAAGGTTCCTACATAATATTCTGGCTATCTATTATTTTTCATTTATAGGAGCTTTTACATACAGTAGTTCATCTGTTGTTAGAAGTGCAAATATGCCATTTGCTGTGTTCCATTCCAATTTTATTTCGATACTGTATATTGGTCATTTGTGAGTTGATTTTTCAGGAAAATGGATTTGGGCTTGAGCATCTTTTGCATCGTGGACGAGCATTGGCAGCTTTTAACCAAATTCTTGGCCATAGAGTTCAAAATCTGAAGTCAGAAGGGGAATCTAGTACTTCCGCTCATGGACAAACTAACATTCAATCAGATGTTCAAAGACTTCTTTCTCCACTAGGACAAAGTGAAGAGACTCTACTTTCATGTGTGAGTTTTTTTTTTATATATATATATATATATATATTCTGATAATGGACTTGAAATGAGAGTTATAATTAAAACATGCATTATCTGCAAATGCTAAAAAATGCATGCCTTTTACTAGATAAAAATCTTGTGCTGATGATAAATTTCATAATTGGCTTGACATTACTGCCAAGGCCATTTTATTTTATGCTATAGCTTGCTTTAATTATGACAAAAATGGGTGGCAAGGATTAGCTATTGACCACTTGGTCATTGGGGCTTTGGAACCTTGTGAAGAACCTAAATGTTTAAGCTGTTTGGTTAAAGGGCATTAATAAATGATACTTAATGTAAGCCTTCATTTGCTATTGAATCAGTTTTATGTTAATCTTTAGAATTTGGATTTGGACCTGAATCAACCTTGCGAAATTGACCTGTAAGATAAGTGTTACCCTCAAGATATATATATATATATATATATATATATATATATATATATATATATATGTATGTATTTATGTGTGTGTGTGTGTGTGTGTGTACTTTAATTTGGCTATATCTCTACTTAATGTTGGATCTCTAACACATCTTCACATTGTGGATTAAACATCTAAAAGTGGTTAAATGACGACTAGATAGTGAGTGACCTATAGGTCCAATCCAATGACAATTATTATGAACGACTTTGATACCATCTTAGAACTTGAGTTATACCATCTTACAATTTAAGGTTTAGAATTGAACTCTACAAAACCAACTTATTAGGTGAAAGTTGCTCCCTACTTGTATACTTTAATTTGGCCATGTCTCTAGCTAAGGTTGGATCTCCATAGTTATATCTTAGGATTTCTTTTGATTTTGATGCTGGAGATCCTCCCATATTCTATCCAAATATGTAAATTTACATTCATGAAAAATACAAAAATGAAATATATGAATCTCATGGAAGTTTTGAATGGTATATGGGAAACTGTTCTTAAATTTTCAGGTTTTGCCAACTGCTATTATGCATTTTGAGGATTCCATGCTTGTTGCTTCTTGTGCTTTTCTTCTGGAGTTATGTGGTTTATCTGCCAACAAGATGCATGTTGATATTGCTGTGCTAAAACGAATATCATCGTTCTACAAATCAAGTGAAAATAATGAAAATCTCTGGCAATTATCACCTAAGGGTTCTGTGTTTCATGCAATATCCCATGAAGGTGATGTAACAGAATCTCTTGCTCGAGCTTTAGCAGAGGAATATTTGCACAAGGAATCTCCTGTAATTGCTACTGAGACAGGAGCTGTAGGTAAACAACCTTCACGAGCTCTTATTCTTGTCTTGCACCATCTAGAAAAGGCTAGCCTTCCAAGGTTGGTTGATGGAAAAACTTATGGGTCATGGCTTTTAAGTGGAAATGGCGATGGAAATGAGTTCAGATCTCAACAAAAGACTGCTAGTCAGCACTGGACTTTGGTAACAACTTTTTGTAGATTGCACCAACTTCCATTGAGTACCAAGTACCTTGCTGTATTAGCTAGAGACAATGATTGGGTATGTTTCTACTTTTTGTTTCTTTTTAACTACTCAAACTATGATCTTATGATTTTATGGTTTCTATCAGATTGAATTTTTGTCTGAAGCCCAGATTGGAGGATATTCATTTGATACAGTAGTCCAAGTGGTGAGTCTTGTTCCCCATCTTTACTCAACATCATGTTTAAACCGTGTATATGATGCTAAAGTGAATTTGTTCCACTGCGAATTTATTTGTGATTGTTAATGGTAGGCATCAAAGGAGTTTAATGATCCACGTCTCCGAGTTCATATGTTAACAGTTTTGAGGGGAATGCAGTCAAAGAAAAAGGCAAGCTCTGCATTGTTCTTGGATACACTGGAGAAAGGCAGTGAAACAACCTTTCCTGAGGAAAACATGTGTGTTCCAGTTGAACTTTTCCAAATATTAGCAGAGTGTGAAAAACACAAATGTCCTGGAGAGGCTCTCTTGAGGAAAGCAAAAGAGTTGTCCTGGTCTATATTGGCAATGGTTGCTTCATGTTTCCTTGATGTCTCTCCATTGTCATGCCTGACAGTTTGGTTGGAAATTACTGCAGCAAGGTGACTGGGACTGTTTATGAGTAAAACGATAATTTCATAAATATGTTCTGTTTTTTAAAATATATTTAGCCATTTCTGATGCGAAGAGCTTGTAGTTTTGTGTGATTTAATTTATGTTACAGTAGGCAAAATCTGTCTGTCTATCTATATTTTAGGAATTATTCTTTTGTGACTGGTTTATTGCAAAATACACTGCTGAATCAAAAATTCCATCATGAATATTACAATCATAAAATTTTACATTCATCTAAAATTTGTTATATTGCGCCATCACATGTTAAAACTAACATTCAAATTCAATATATTTGGGTTCATGCTTATTGGTGTCCGATTCTTTTAAAACAATTGGTAAGAGAAGAGCTACATATTTTATCTAACTCTACGTTGTAGAATAAGGTTTGCTTGCTGTATAATTCAACAATTGGACTGAAAATTCACATTATATGATGAATTGTTAAAGGTCTGAGCATTGGGTCTTGTACCTGTTAAATGATGATCCACAATAACATGTACATAGACTTGTTAAAGGTGTGAGCATTGAGTCTGATCTTTTTGTGGACAGAGAAACTTCATCCATTAAGGTGAATGATATCGCCTCCCAGATTGCAGACAATGTTGGAGCAGCTGTAAATGCTGCTAATGCCCTGCCTGTAGGTGACAGAGTACTTGCATTTCATTACAACAGGCAGAGCCCTAAACGACGGCGATTGATAACTCCTATTTCACTGGAATCCTCTTCTTCTGCACTATCTGATATATCTCGCACTTCTACAAGTGAAAAATTATTTGATTCCCACGGTAAAACTGTGGAGAACGATAGAAAAGTTGAACATTTTGGATGCGTTAATGTTCCAAGTGATTCCGATGAAGGGCCTGCTTCACTTTCAAAGATGGTTGCTGTGCTTTGTGAACAACAATTGTTTTTGCCTTTGCTCAGAGCATTTGAGATGTTCCTTCCGTCATGCCCCTTGCTACCATTCATCCGTGCTCTTCAAGTAAGCCAACTAATTCAAATTTAATCTGGTTCATTAAGTGTAGACTTGTGAATAGTGGATACTAAGTTCAAGTGCCAGTGTGTGTTTTTACATATGTATCTTGACTTTCTTTCACTCAGTATTTTTTAAAGGTAAATTACACTTTATCCCCTTATAGTCTGTCATTGTGGGTTTTGTTGTTTCTTCAGGCATTTTCACAAATGCGCCTCTCAGAAGCTTCTGCCCATTTGGGTTCTTTTTCTGCACGAATTAAGGAGGAACCAATGTACTTACAGGCAAATGTAGGAAGAGATGCCCAGATTGGGGCATCATGGATTAGTTCTACTGCTTCAACAGCTGCTGATGCTGTGCTTTCAACCTGCCCATCTCCTTATGAAAAAAGATGCCTACTGCAACTTCTTGCTGCTACTGACTTTGGTGACGGTGGATATACTACAGCATACTATCGAAGGGTTTATTGGAAAATTAATTTAGCAGAGCCTTTACTTCGTAAAGATAATGAGTTGCATTTAGGTGATGATGAAATTTCAGATGATGCTTCACTCTTATCTGCACTAGAGAATAATAGGCACTGGGAGCAAGCAAGGAACTGGGCCAAGCAGTTAGAGCCGAATGGTGCACCCCAGAAATCTGCTATGCATCATGTTACTGAATCTCAGGTAATACTTGTTGCAAGCCTGATTGTGACTCGTAATCTTAATTGAGGGGAAGTCTTGAGCCTATATTAAAACCTTAATCAATTGAATGCTTCATAACGAACACCATTATAACTAATTCAAGGTTCCTTCATGTTACTATTACCACAGATTTTTGAAGTGACTGCACTGTAATCATATTGTCTCTTAATAAGTATAATTTTGGGCTCTAAAACTTCATATCAGATTAATTAATTTTGCATGATAAACTCCTTTTAATATAGGCAATTGTATAGTATGTTGAACATGAGTAATGTTTTGTCAAATAAAACATCTTTTTGCTTAATCAATACATCTTTCATATGCGATTATGTTTTGTTACTTGCACGTATTTGTGCATTTCATTTATCATGTTGATTTGACTTATACTGTAATTATCTGTTTTAATAAATTCTGGCATAGATGATCATTTCGTTTGATCAAATGGATTGCTATTAGAGTAATCAAGAGTTCTTCTTTGATTTCTGTAAGCTGATTGGCTACCAACTTCACTGATTTGTCTGATAACCAATCAGCTTACAAGAATTCTAACAAACTCGTGTAACAAACTATGCTGATGTGGCAGTTAGCCAATCAGCTTACAAAAAACATTAGTGAAAAATTATAAACTTGAATATTTAATTATCTTAATTTTTTAGAAAATCGGAGTTCTGGTAGAACTTATAATTTATTTGCCATTTTTTATTAGAATTTCCTTTGATGCCTTTTTATGAACTTTAGTTGATAGTTTGATTATTTCTCATCAACACTTTTCTCTAAATATTTCTCTGCCCCTTTTGTAAATGGTAGGCTGAATCTATGGTAGCTGAATGGAAGGAGTTTCTTTGGGATGTTCCTGAAGAGAGGGTTGCATTATGGAACCACTGTCACACACTTTTCATCCGATATTCCTTCCCTTCTCGTCAAGTGGGTTTGCTTTCTAGTACACTACTACAGTCAATGTTCAACTAAAGATATCTTCTATATTGCTTTATGGTGAAATTTTTTCTTTGTTGTAAATATTGCAGGCTGGGTTATTTTTTCTTAAACATGCTGAAGCTGTTGAGAAAGATCTTCCAGCAAGGGAGCTTCATGAACTTCTATTACTTTCTCTACAATGGCTGAGTGGGATGATAAGTCTTTCCAATCCGTATGGAACATATTCAAGAATTAGTGAATTTCTTTTTCTTTCAATTCTAGTTGTTATCTTTACTTATGATATTGTTAAATTTTTCAGTGTCTGTCCATTGCAACTTCTGCGTGAAATTGAGACCAAAGTATGGCTCTTAGCCGTTGAGTCTGAGAGTCAGGTGAAGAGTGAAGGTGATTTCAATTTTACCTTTTCTACCAGGGAGAGTGGTATCAAGAACGACTCCAGTATTATTGATCGAACTGCAAGCATAATAGCAAAGATGGACAACCATATAAATACAATGAGGAGTAGAACTGTAGACAAATATGAGTCAAGGGAAGTTAACCAAATCCCTCACAAAAATCATGTAATAGATGCTGGTCTTTCAACTACTGTTGGTGGGTATACAAAGACAAAAAGAAGGGCCAAAGGATACACGGCATCAAGGCGCCCACCTCTTGAATCAGCCGATAAAAGTGTTGATATTGATGATGTCTCTAGTACTATTAATTTAAAAAATGAGATGCAGTTGCAAGATGAAAATATTAAAGTTGAAATGTCCTTTTCTAGATGGGAGGAAAGGGTTGGAACAGCAGAGCTGGAAAGGGCTGTACTTTCTTTATTGGAATTTGGGCAAATTGCTGCCGCCAAACAACTGCAATATAAATTCTCTCCTGGACAAATACCATCTGAGTTTAGACTTGTTGATGCAGCCTTAAAACTTGCTGCTAATTCAACTCCTCCTAGCAATGTATCAGTGCCAATGCTTGATGAGGAAGTGCATTCAGTTATGCAGTCATATGGTTTACTGAATGATAAGCACTGTATTGACCCGCTGCAGGTAATTGTCCTCTCCATGCTGTTATTGCAAAGTTTTTTTTTTTTTTTTTCTGTACTGGCGATAAAGATGTGTATAAATATAATAATGTGGACATGCAATGCTAGATTTTGGAGAGTTTGGTGACCATTTTTACTGAAGGCAGTGGGCGTGGGCTATGTAAGAGAATAATAGCAGTTATAAAAGCTGCAAACACCTTGGGCCTCTCATTTTCCGAGGCATTCAACAAACAACCAATTGAACTACTACAGCTCCTTTCTCTCAAAGCACAAGATTCCTTCGAGGAGGCCAACTTTCTGGTGCAGACTCATCCAATGCCAGCGGCAAGTATTGCTCAAATACTGGCAGAATCCTTTCTAAAGGTTTGGTTCATCATTTTATTTCTAATGTTTTTTCTTGGCATCGTATGTTGTGATTGGTAAATATGTTAGACATCCCTCCTGATCATAGATAAATTTTTTGTGGGCATGTTGCATATATATTGTATATATTCACACATATTTTAACCAGGATATGTGAATTTAATGTCATTTTGATTCATATTTTTCCATCCAAGATGTAGTTAATAGTTATGCAGCTGTCTGTTAAACAACTCTAGTTAGATACAATTTTGCAACATTAATACCGGTCCATACAACTATATTGCTATGTTTAATTACTAATATTGCCAGGGCGTGTTGGCTGCACATCGTGGAGGGTATATGGACTCGCAAAAGGAGGAGGGGCCTGCTCCATTGCTGTGGAGATTTTCAGACTTCTTGAAGTGGGCAGAGCTTTGTCCCTCTGAACCAGAAATTGGACACTCCTTAATGCGTTTGGTGATTACTGGACAAGAAATACCACATGCGTGTGAGGTATCATTTTGATCCTGTCAGCCTTGCAACTTCTTTTACTAACATGTTCAGAAAACGAGTAAATGGTGAATTAAATTTAAATTGCTGGTGGGAAAATTCTAATTCATTAGATTATAGATGTAGTTCTTTGTGATGTGATCCCCCTGTTCTTCTTTTTTTTTTTTTTTTTTTTTGAATTTTTATGGGGGAAATTCATTAAGATGAAAAAAGAATGACATGAATTTAGGAAAGCTAATCAACCCTTCAACATATCCGTGAGGGACACCCTTTGAAAAGACTATGTGGTGCTTTACCCCATGTGGAAGCCAAGCACTTAATCTTATCCCGAAGATGCTGCTTTTGTGAAGAAATATCCTTAAAACCTGATTGGGACTGGGTATTGTGGGGTGCTTAAGTCCCACATTGAGTAGTATTAGGATACTTGTTGGGGTATTTAAGTTTTTTATTTTCCTCCCTTAACAACTAGATTTTGGGGGTGGCTTATCAATTGGTATCAATGTTTGTTATCAGTGTCTCAAAAAGGGATACGTCGAAGAGACATCAACTCGATTCTTCTCTCTTAATAACTAGCTTTTGAGGGTGGGTTTTGTTGAATATAGTGAAAATTTAGGTATAGGGTTGATTTCCTTTGTGTCTCAAATACACGTAGGGTAATATATTTATAATTAAGAGTCATACAAGTAAATATGGTAAATACATATATTGTGACTAATAATATCTATAATATATAATACTCCCTTTCAAGCTGATGTATATAAATCATATATACCAAGTTTGTTACAAATATAATCAATTCTATGTCCCCGTAAAAACTTGGTGAAAATAACTGCTAATTGTTCATTTGAGTTAACAAAGTTGGTCTTATGTCTCCTTATACAATCTTTTCTCGAATAAAATGACAGTCAACTTCATGTGTTTGGTCCTTTCATGAAAGATAGGATTAGAGCTAGTATGAAGAGCAACCTAATTGTCACATATAAGTGTCATTTGAGTGACATCTCCAAATTGTAATTCTTTAAGTAATTGCTTAAGCCAAACAAGTTCACAAGTGGCTGAGACCATAACTCTATATTCTGTTTCTGCACTAGATATTGCCACAATACTTTGTTTCTTACTCTTCTAAGAGATCAAGTTACCTTCAATAGAAATACAGAATTCGAAAGTAGATATTCTATCAGAAGGAGATCCTGCCTAGTCAGCATCTGAATAACAGACAACTTTAGTCTGGTTATTTTGATCATATAGCAAACCTTTTCCAGGAGATCTTTTAATGTACTTTAATATAAGAATGATTGCACTCCAATGATCTGCATATGGTGAATTAAGAAATTAACTCACCACACTAACTGCAAAGGAAATGTTTGGACGAGTAACAATAAGATAGTTTAATTTTCCAACTAATCTTCTCTACTTCTCAGGATCTAAGAGAGAGACTCCCCTGATTAGGTAGGAGTTTGGTATTGGGATCCATAGGTGTGTCAACAGATTTTGAGCTTATCAACCCAATTTTTTCTAAGATATCCAATGCATACTTTCTCTAAAATATAACAATGTCGTTATTGGATTGTGCTACCTCAATCCCCAAGAAATATCTAAGTTTGCCAAGATCTTTGGTCTGAAAGTGGTGATAAAGATGTTGCTTCATCTGGGAGATGCCATGGTGATCACTCCTTGTAAGAACAATATCATCAACATATACTATTAAATAGATACACCCAATACTTGAGTGCCAGTAAAATATTGTATGATCTATCTCACTGCGAGTCGTTCCAAACTGTTGAACAACACTGCTAAATTTTCCAAACCAGGTCCTAGGAGACTGTTTTAGGTCATATAAAGATTTGTGAAGACGACATACCAATCCAAAAGACTCCCCCTGAGCAACAAAGCTTGGAGATAATCTATGGTAACTCAAAGCAATATAATGAGGAGAGAGATTACGAGTAGAATGTATACCTTTACGGAGGCAATTGGAAGGTCAGACTCAGTCATTTGGTAGTGGTGGAGGAGAATCCAAAGGTGGCCTAGAAGGAGAATCACACACAATAGGAATATTAACAGTAGCGAACGACGACACACATGGAGAAGAATGACACTTAAAGTAAAAGGAAGACTCATTAAAGGTGACATCTTTAGAAATAAAATAACGGTTAAGAGAAGGAGATAAATAATTATATCTTTTTTGTGATCGAGTAAATCCTAAAAAACACATTTGTGTGATTTAGGAGATAACTTATCAAGATCAGGAATAAAATTATAATAAAACATGTAGACCTAAAAACATTAAGAGGTAAGGGATGTAGAGGTTCATGAGGAAGTAAAAGAGAATGAAGAATTTTGTTATTTAGAACTAAAGATGGCATGCAATTGATAAGATAACATGCAGTAAGAATAGCATTACCCCAAAAATGTTTATGAACCTCACCATGAATTAAAAGAGTGCGAGTTGTTTCAACAAGATGTCTATTCTTGTGCTCAGTCACCCCATTATGTTGAGGTGTATAAGCACATGAAGTTTGATGAAGAATGTCATCAGAAGCCAAAAAATGTTTAAAGGAATGAGAAAGATATTCACAACCATTATCACTTCGCAAAATTCGAATAGAAATCCCAAACTGAGTTTTAATTTTGTTAAGGTTCAAACATAAAACCAATTGACAATATGTGGAGTAGCCTAACATGTATTTAAACCATACCAAATGACATGAGGTAGGCAATGTGAGACTTTCAACACGCCTCCTCCAACGAAGCCTGCCGGACCAGGCAAAGGGTACTTTTGACTCAACTAAATGGTAACTTTTGGCCCATGACAATAACCGGAAAGATGTTAGGCTTTGGCTCTGATACCATGTTAAGGTTCCAACATAAAACCAATTGGCAATATGTGGAGTAGCCTAACATGTATTTAAACCATACCAAATGACATGAGATAGGCGATGTGGGACTTTCAACAAATTTCATTAAAAAATGAGTGGAATATAGAAAACTACTCAGAACGATTTTTCATTAAAACAACCAAGTACTTCTAGAATAATTATCAATAAAGGTAACAATACTGAAAACCTAAATTAGACTTAACACGACTAGGTCCCCAAATATCAGAGTGAACTAATGCAAAAGGGGACGAAGCACGCTGTCTGACACTACGAAGAAATGAACTACGACTTTGTTTCTCTAATTTGCATGACTTCATAACAAACTAGATAAATTGGACAAACTGGGAACAAACTGCTGCAATTTGGCAAGACTAGGGTGACCTAGCTAAGCATGGAGGAGAGATGGATACTCCATAACTGTACCAACATGTGTAGAAGGGCGGAGATGATAAAGACCATGAGACTCACATTCGGTGGCAATCATTTGTCTCGAACTCCGGTCCTGTAAACAAACAAAATCTTTGGTAAAAGAAATAACACAATCAAAAAAATGAGTTAGACGACTAATGGATAATAAGTTAAAGGGAGATCCAAGGACCTAAAGATCATTATCCATGGATAAAGATGGAAAAAGTTTAACAATACCAATACCATGAGACAAAACCCTATACCCATTAGCCATTTTAATTGAAGATAAATTATTCGGAGAGGATAAAGAAGAAAACAAAGATTTGTTCCCAGCAATATGATCTGTGGCGCCTGAGTCAAGAATTCAAGGTCCAATAGGAGATTGAGTTAGGTCAACAAAAGATGTACTTGTGAGTGCAACAGAAGTAGTGGAATTAAAGTTTTGACAAGCCTTATACTGTTTGAAAAATTCATTGAAAATAATAGATTTATCTACGGTATAAGATGATATAGGATCCACAGTAGATGATTGTGAGGTAGTGGAAGAAGTCATGGATGAAGAGAGAGAAAAACACTAAAAACTTTAAATAGTGCGTGGAGACTCTGATCGCGATGATCTCAATGGCGTGGTGGTTGTCTAGTCGAGACGAGCAAAACAGTGTGGTCGCCAATTTGAATTGTGACTTGGGCGGCGACGATAGCAAAGGTGGTGGTGGTGGTGGCAGGTGCAGGGACAACAATGTCGGCAGCAAAAAAAAAAAAAAAGAAAGATAACCTAAGCTCTAGATATCATGTTGAATATAATAAAAAACTAGGTATATGATTAATTTTCCTTGTGTCTCAAATACATATAGGGTGATATATTTATAATTAAAAGTTATAAAAGTAAATATGGTAAATATATGTACTGTAACTAATAACATCTAAAATATCTAAATTATCTACTAGGTTCCCTAAGTGCTTTGGTACATAGCAAAACCACCCTTATGTAACTGTAGCAAACATTACAATTTACCACTTTTCTACCAAAACCAGTAAAACTAGTTCAAAAAATATCAAAACCCAAGCATACAAAAAAATAACAGTGGTAGCAGAATGTAAGAAAAGGCGAGTCTAAGATTATGAGCTTGCAACTCACAACACTTTAGGATAAATTGCCTTGTGTCTTCAAGACACTTGAAAGTTCAAACATGTCATTGGCATTAATTTTATTAATCTCAGTTGTTCGAATAATAGTCATTGAGAGAGCTTTAGACTCCCAATGGGGTTTATATAGGTGTAATGTTTCTCAAATCATTTTTACTTGTACTGGAGAACTAACAAACAGAAACAGGGAGACTTGAAAGAACCTCCAATATAGAGGAGAGAGAATTGAAGCAAGAAAAAATAATTTCTCATTACATTTAGAGTTCTATTACAACAAAGATTATGGCTATAAAATGCTTGTCCTGCGAGAAACAGAAAAAGTTACGGACAAGTACAGTCAGCTGTCACATGCCAGCTAGCTGGAGTGATCAAGCTGAAAACTAACTTGGTTCAATGTTCACACATTTTCGAACCAAGGAAAGGTTGTCATTCCATTAACCAATAATTGACTCATCGTTAGCTGGTGTGTGGCAGAATTTTAGGTGTAGGATCGATTTGTATGCGTGTCTAGAGAAAGAGAGATAGGATATACCAAGTTATTGAGCTAGTTTACTATTAAGAGTGAGATAAGTGAATCAGAATCATTAAATCTTATATAAATTGTAAGGATTAAATGACTACTTACACGCACTTTTAGGTCCCTCACCATTATTACAAGATCCTATGTTCAATATTTTCTGTTGATCCAAATGACAACTTGACAGCTGATGATATTGTTTACAATGCCCCTCTTCCTTTGCATTATTGGAAGCAGTAGTAATCTGGATAAAATTTTGTATGTTAAATCTAAATGATTCTGGCTCAGTCTTTACTTTTCTTGAACTGACATTGTTCTTCCCTGTGAAATTGACATTTTCAGGTTGAGCTTCTCATTTTATCTCACCACTTCTACAAATCATCTTCTTGCCTTGATGGAGTTGATGTTCTTGTTGCCCTTGCTGCAACTAGGGTTGATGCTTATGTCTTGGAGGGTGATTTTCCATGTTTGGCTCGCCTAATAACTGGAGTTGGAAATTTTTATGCTCTCAATTTCATTCTTGGCATTCTTATAGAAAATGGTCAATTGGATCTTCTTCTTCAGAAGTATTCTGCTGCTGCTGACACAAACACTGGAACTGCTGAGGCTGTCAGGGGATTTCGAATGGCTGTTCTTACATCCTTGAAGCATTTCAACCCTAATGACCTTGATGCATTTGCCATGGTTTGTGTTTTTTCAGTGCTACAATAAAGAATATATAGATTAATGATTGTATGCTGCTAATATACAATACCTTCTGTTTCACGATTATTTAGTCTAGTGTATGCTACCTTTTGAGCCATTCAGTCACATTTTTTTTATTTTTAAATGACACGGGGTAATTGAAATTGAGTACTGTTATCCCACTACATAATATATCAATATCATGGTACTACATATTGTGTTTAGAGCTTCAAACAGCAACTTTAAAAGTGGATAACTTCCTTTTTCTTCATGCTCAGAAAGTTTTTCTTTTGTTTTCCTTGGTTCTCCTTGTCTCCAAATCAATGAAGATTAATTTTGTTTGAAGCTGAAGGAAAGAAACTAGATTAAATGTGATACTTTATTCATTATAGCTTTTTGTTCTGTACAGGTCTACAATCATTTTGATATGAAGCATGAGACAGCGGCTCTTTTAGAGTCACGTGCAGAGCAATCATGTGAGCAGTGGTTTCGTCGATACCACAAAGACCAGAATGAAGACTTGTTGGATTCCATGCGCTACTTCATTGAAGCTGCTGAAGTTCACTCTTCTATCGATGCTGGCAATAAAACACGTAAAGATTGTGCTCAGGCTTCCCTTCTATCCCTTCAAATACGAATGCCAGATTTCCAATGGCTATATAGATCAGAAACCAATGCTAGACGAGCATTAGTTGAGCAGTCTCGATTTCAAGAAGCTCTGATTGTAGCTGAAGCTTATAACTTGAACCAGCCAAGCGAATGGGCTTTAGTACTCTGGAACCAGATGCTTAAACCAGAGGTAATGGAGGAGTTTGTGGCTGAATTTGTTGCAGTTTTACCTCTTCAGTCTTCAATGCTGATAGATTTAGCTAGATTCTATAGAGCTGAAGTTGCTGCCAGAGGGGACCAATCCCATTTCTCTGTCTGGCTCACCGGGGGCGGATTGCCAGCTGAATGGGCTAAATATTTAGGAAGATCATTCAGGTGCTTATTGAAGCGAACAAGGGATTTGAAGTTGCGGATGCAGTTGGCTACAGTGGCAACTGGATTTGGGGATGTCATTGATGCATGCACAGAAGAAATGGATAAGGTCCCTGACAATGCAGCGCCACTAGTGCTCAGAAAGGGTCATGGTGGAGCTTACCTCCCTTTAATGTGAAATTTTATACTTTCTACTTTCGATCATCATGAATATGAAGTTGGTTCTTGATCTTGAACCATTGATGGATTCAAAACAATTGGGAATTGTTGCTGCAAAGATGGAGACAAGAGACCTGAAGTGTTGACCAAATCAAATCGGATGGTTAGTTGATAAAAATGCCATGTATATTTTTTTGATTGAGTAAATGCTTGATGGTTGTATATTATGCCAACTGTATCTATAGCTCATTCTTGTAAAACACTATTCTAGTTTTGTTTTCTCCATTTTTTTTGCAGGGAGGAGAGAGTAGTTTCTTGTCGGTTTTGAGGCTAGTAGAATAGATTGTTCCATTTGTTTCTTCTTTTTATTTCTTTTGCCTCCAAAATGTATAGTTCCTGTACATCAATATGAAATTCCATTTGTTTTACATGCTCCAATTCTTTCGACAAAATATTCTTGCCCAATGCAGTTTTCACATGCATAGCTGTCTAATATGGGTCCTATTGACGCAATGGTTTAAGATCCTGTGCTTATACATTGTGAAAGGTAATTTATATAATGAAAAATTCCTTTTCAACTTTTATGTTGTGTAAAATTTTGTAGAGTCAGAGATAATCAAAGTACAGATTAGTTGCTTATCGAATGACATACGACTGTAGGGATGTTATCAATTACATGTTTTAGAAAAAAAGGAAAAAGAAAAGTTAATTAATTTAATCAACTAATTTTCTTTGATTAATTTCTAAGGAGAAACAATTTAATTTACCTTCTAATTTTCTTTATAAGTATTTATAAAACTATTAAATTAATACTACTCTACATAACTGACAAATCAAATTAATGTCAACGGTTTTTTATTAATCAAAACGTATCTCGTTCAAGGACTAAACAAGTGTCACTTTAGTGTCTATTGAATCTAATTAAAAATGATTCGCTTAGGTAAAAATGTTCACACTATATATATATATATATATATATATATATATATATATATATATATATATATATATATATGAATTGGTATTAATGTTATAATTGTTTATTTAATAATTATTTCGAAAGTTATATTAAAGGTAATTTTTAATTGGTAAAGTATAAAGAAAGCGCAACAAATAAACTCTGCTTAATCTTTGATGAAAAAATAAACCCAATCGATTTTCAATAAAATATTGTTTTTTTTAAGTCTTAGAATGTGGTACGGGGACTAAAAGATAAACACAGTAGATAGAGATAATTACCAAATTAAACAATATAAATAAAATAAATTTTATTTTAAAAACTGTTTTTATTGAATTAAATTAAATATAAATTTATTTTCTAATATGATATGAAAACTTATATTAACAAATTGTTAATCCTATTGTGTTAGGCTCAACGGATTGTTATAATTTATAAAATCACAAATCACACTAATATTGAATTGAGATATTCAATCATTTATGCGAGAGAATGTATTGTAATTTATTTTATATGATATAACTAAATTATAATACATAAATAAAACCTAAATTTTACCTTTAAATATGATAATTGAGTGAAACCCATTTCCACTTTCTAAATTACAATGCAATTTGAAATAAGCATACTGAGAGAATAAAGACGACATTTTAGGTAATTATAATTTCCATCAAAGAATCCTAATCTCAATTCTTATTAATATCATGCTTCTCAAAATTCTAAACATAAAATCATTTCAGCAATTAAACAATGTCATAGCTCACGGAGCAGGAAGGGAAATGATCAAAATACAATTTTTCTCTCTACGCTTAAAATTGAAAACAAAAAATTAAAAAGAGCATTATTCTGCATTTAAGAAAATATTGCACTTGGAAAAAGGCACTGAGGGAAGGATTAGGATAGGCTAGGGAAAAAATTATTTATCTTTAATTTTGTCAGAGTATGTATGCTGAGATACTGTAGGACGCCGCTCAGCAAGAAAACGTTTTGTACTCTCAAGGACACCAAAGAATATTGAACCACCTATGCCTATCCATAGTACTCTGGGACCAATACCCTGCAGTAATTATAAAACCATAATTTATAAGCACCAATATAGATTTCTTGCCATGTAGCTGCAGCACCCTACATTTGGATTCATGCTATATTTCCCACTCAAGTTATACAACGTATGGATGAAAACATACAAAATCCTTACCTTCAAAAAGGCACGAGGTCCTTCTTCCTTAATAATGGTCTGAACACAGTCAAAAATTCCCAAATATTGATTTGCAGATCCCTTGAGGAAGAAAATAGGAACTTGTGAATGGCTTGATAAATTATACATGATATTCTCATTGATTTACTTCTAGATTACTCATACACTGACATAAGGTATCATATGTGCATGGAGGTAGATGTATATCTTGTTAAAACAATATAATTAAAAAGGAACATGATCATAGCTTACTTGAACCATTAACCTTGTCTTGATGACATCGAGGGGGGTAGTTATAGCTCCAGTTACTGCACCTACAAGAAACAATGCAGTTCGTCACATCTAACACAAACAAGGGGCCTAGTTGGACTTACAATAACGCTTAACAAATCAAACAGGAAGAAAACCAAAACACTGCAATTTATATTTTATTACTATCTATTTCCCCTCCCCTCAAGAAATTTGAAACCCAAATATTTCAAAAATGAAAAAAATATCGCTGTCATACCCATGTCAGATAATCCTTCTAAGACACTTCTAAATATGTCTATAAAAGTATCAAATAATACTTTTAGATAAATATCCTAAAAAATCATTTTTTTCAATTTTATCTTGGATACATAGCTTTAATATTTCCAAATTGTATCTGAAAATTTTGCCTTAAGGCTTCTTTAGCAGTCATATTCTTCCTTATGAGAGAAATTGAAGTACATACTTCTTCATCCATTCTTTGAAGAGAAACAAAATGAGTCCAATTGAATATTTGGTGTGCACTCCAACTTTTTGACTTTTGACAAGAAAAGATGAAGGAGAGGTAAGAATGGTCGACATTTGTGGAGATATATCCACATGATGGTGTTGAACATTTTGAATTTTCTCTTGATGAACCAAACCCAGAAGCTATGCGTAATAAAGTAGAGGAAAATGATGTATAAACTATCTATTTTTATGATAAATGTCATTTTGTAAACTGTGATCATCATATTTATAAAAATGTCTCTTTTTTATCAATAATTACGTAAAATATTTTATAATGTTGTTGAAGAAACTTTAATATTAGTTTCTTTAAAAGTTAAATTTATAACTTATGCGTTAAGTAGAAGTTCTTTTCTATTTTTCATTCTTTCAAGCAGTCATGGAGATCAGGAAACCAAAAGAAATCAAATTCAGGTTCTCTCCCTAAGCCTCTGTTTTTATCATTTTTATTTGATAATCACATCATCATATGGGGAAGGAATGTAACTTGTCACCTTGAAAAAAGAAAAAAGAAACATAGCTCTAATTATAAACACTAAAGGCTATTTGTGTCAAACAACCATACAGCTTCCAATATGAATTCAATGGTGTGGATAGAAAACTAACTTTTTAATAGAAAGTGACTTCAGAACTAACTCAACCTTATAAAATCAATTTATAAAGTGAGGTTTTCATCTACTTATATATTATAATTGGACCATATATTTAGTCAATATGAGATCTCTAATATACCCCTCACACCCAACACGCTAAAATAATCTCTAATATCATATTTGAAAATAGATTTTGGTTCAACTCAACACTTCAAAATCGATTTATAAGATAAGATTTGTATCCAATTACATTTCATCTACTTATATATTATAATTGGACCATATATTTAGTCAATATGAGATCTCTAATATACCCCTCACACCCAACACGCTAAAATAATCTCTAATATCATATTTGAAAATAGATTTTGGTTCATACTATAATTTATCTTTAATCGATGTGAAATATCTAGCACATCGATCATGCTTGAGGATTGAACATAGAATTGGATATTTGTGAGTGGTCTTCAACACTTTTAAATCCCTCATGCAAAATCTCACCCTAGAACATAAACTCCTCATAGCTATCAGAATTGAAACTTAATATGTATGTATATCTACATATTACTCTATAATATGCCTATAATGGCATGCATTTACCTGCAAAAGCACCAATAATTGCATTTTCTGGATCATTCAGATTTCTTCGTGCCTAGCGAAAGGAATTGCAAGTCACATCACCAATCATGAAATGAAATAGAAGAGCAAACATCACCAATCTGCCTTTACTTTAATGAGTTCAACCTATAAATATGTTTAGTGCTTGTACTGAAAAGTCATCAACTAACTTTCAGTTTTTCTCTTCTTGCTGATATTTCTTTTTGTAGGTTTCACCCATGTGATTGTTAGATTCCCTCTCCCTGGTCAAGATTTTCTCAATATATATATATATATATATAAGAAAATAAAAAAATGAAAAAAGAAAAGAAAAGAAAATAGAATAGAAAAGAAGGTTGTTTGTAGGTATCACCCATGTCATTGTTAGATTCCCTCTCCTTGGTCAAGATTTTTTTTCAATATATATATAAATATACATTGATACTTGTGTCAGATGAACAAAAATACTTACCGCAAGCATATAACCTATTCGAATTTGCTCATAGATGCAAAATTGAATAGCATCAAAGGGTAAATCTCGCAACAAAAAGGATCCATACCCCTGTGGTTTCGAAGAGCAATATCAGAGAACCATTTTAACAGATCGTTGCAAACCTGGGGAATATAAGATATCAGAAAATTTTAAAAGGAAGAGATGGTGAACTTCATACAGCATAAAATCCTTTAAAGCCTTCCTTAGAAGCAATAAAGCGAACGGCACCAGAAGCTGAAGTAAACTGCCCAGTTTGCATTCGTTGCTTGATAACCTGAGGGGCATGTAAAAATATTAAATCCAGTGAAAAAGTTTTCAACCATGGAAATGTCAATTTTACAAATAAGATAATTTATTTACCTCTGTTGGAACACGAATCAATGAAGCAGCAATGCCCCCAATGGCACCTGCAGTCTAATGAGATTGAAAAACACTGAAATAATTTTATCCCCATAAAAAGTTATAAAATTTTACATACAGAGGATTGGGTGCCAGGAACAAAAGCATGATAAAATAGACAAAGCATCAACTCCAATACAAGTCAAAGAAATGCCAGAGGCTTCAGAAGACCAGTGACCAAAATTCATACTTTTGACACAGGTCTTCAATTTACTTAAATTTCAGCATGCCAATCGTAATATTTGAAGAAAAGGCTACACATTTTTTTTTTCTCTTATTCATATATGGAGTCATAAAATGCTAGAATATGAAGTGGGAGTTTGGTTTGGAAATATCATAATTTAGATAAGAATTGGATAATTTAGATCTTATAACAATTGTAACTTATCTTCCTAACTTTCAATTCCTAACAAGCATTTACACCAATATCCACATATCAATGTTTATATAAGAAATATCTTACCAAATGACTAAAAGCACTCAGATTTTCAGGAAATATCCTCAGCAATTTCTGCTTTATAGGTTCATAAACTCCCACAAATAAAGCAGATGCCCTGCACATTTAAAAACAACAAAAAGGAGTGAAGGAAAGAACCTATATTTTATTCATGATCTCATATCTTGATACATGAAATTAAATCATGAGAAAATGACTTAAATAAATTTGTGAGGGGGGAAAACTCCTTTTGGCTTTGAATATGCATAAATATAAATAAATAGTTACTTTACTTTTGAATGATACTTCTCTTTCAAACAAATCCTAGATAAGGAGATAGCCAAATCTTCTTTCTTTGTCATATGTACTACATAAGAATATGTTATTTCTCAAAAGTCTTTGCAACTGAATCTGTAAAGAAACCACTGAAAGTGTAATTATGCAGTTAGAATTTAGAAATTGGCACAAGTTTTCTTTTTCTTCAAAAAAACAATCTTCATACAAAATGTAATTTTCTTGAGTTAGTTCACTGGGAAGAAATTCAATGAATCACCACCTGTAGAAATAAATTTATTAAGCATGCCAACAACTTTCTCACTTTTTTCTATGATTGGGTTTTTCAAAATTTCTATTTCACTTAAAAACCTATAATGTTGAAACATGCTAAACAGGAGGTTCTCACGGTAAGACACCAGCAAGGTTCCCTGCCAATCCAGAATAAAGGCCTCTCAATATTAGTTTTTCTCCTCCACGAGCAGCCTAGGGGAAAAAAATATATCATAAGCACATTTGGCGTCAAGTCAGCACACACAAAAACACGTATAAAAGGGGCATATAATTGTGTGGTCTATAGCCATAAACTAAAGTACACCAAAATTGCCGTGAAGAGCACAGATCAAATTTTCTTAACCCAATTAGCATAATAAAAAATATATTCAAATTTTGATATTGTGCAAATCAACTAACTAACCACTCTATACATATTAAATGCGAGAAAAAAAAATTATAGCTTTCGTGTTTTCTCATAGTAGATTTCATCTTAAACCAATTGGTATTAAGTGAAATAGACTAATAAATATATAAATCACACCCAGCAATTGAGGCAATTAGTGCAGAACTTTCCCACACCCCATCCATAGATATTTATTGGATTAGACCATTCTTTACAGAAACTGAAGATCCCCTGCATAAACCTTATCAGCGACAGAAACGAGCTTGAGGTATAAGACCTTGTACCATATTATAAATGGATTGGGTAAACCACTCCCAAAAAGAAGAAAATTGCAAAATTCATATAAGGAGTCCTCAGGTGATGTGGACTCAGCACATTGCTTGCTGGACCAAGTGAAACACAATCGAACCTTTAGATGGAGTGAAGATTCCATCCAAATATCTCAAGAAACAAAAATGAGCTACAGGCCCTGGTATGAAATTATAAATAAATATGACCTTACTCACTCCCAAAAGCTTTTCAGAGAAGGAGGATTGTCAATGTCTTATAATAGATGTTCAGAATGTCAATGTGGGACATCTTAACACTTAGTCTTGCCAAAATAAAATACTATCTTTCAAGAATCATGCCTAGATGGCACTGATCCAGAGCCTTATCACTTGGCATCATTCAAGATTTCAGCATCACACAGTAGTCAGTATAATCACACCAAAGCAAAACCCTAAACCTTCGTGAAAAAATTTGTCATTACAACATGCCTGTAGTCGTGTTTTAATGGTGTCGATTGGGTATAAAGCTGTTTCAACAACAACTCCAGCTGTAGCTCCTGCAATAACACCCTCTGCAAATTCCATCTGGCTCATCAGAAAGAATGAAATGCAATAAACCCATCGAGAATATAGTATTGTCTACCAACTTATTTTAAGAAAGTAAAATACTATTTAAGAGGAGCAAAAATTCAGTTCTTCAGTTCATATATGAAGAACTGGGGCATTGCATCTTCGTGCTGGTCAGTTTTCTACTCAAACAGGACCAAATAATATTTGTAAATACGATCTTTTGGCATAATCTGAAAAAAGTATTCATGAATAATGTCCCCTCTCATATAGGGAAGAAAAATGAGCATTTCATCAATGCAGATAAAATAATTTCTTACTTTGGTGTATACCAGATATGCTTTATGCAGACATGTATTTGAATGTATAATTGCCAAATCTCCTATGTAGCAAGTGAATATTTTATGTTGTATTGAGATTACAGAACTTGGTATATAGAACAAAATGGCAGCAAAACACCTACTAAAATCATATTTTTCTGGAGTGGAACACCAACACTGACACAATTTCTTCACTGGGAACAACACCAAAGAAGATCTTATACGTACCAAATAAAGTCCGTAAAAAGTCAAAAGGCTTTTCATCTCCCATGCTAACTGATGCAAAAGAATTTTTCAGAAGCAAGTTCTGTTTTCTCTTCGAACAAGCATCTGTGAAACCATGTATCCGGCTAAAATGAGATGCAGATAGCACAAACCAGCAGCAAATAAAATGCTAAAATAACACACGGACACCAGATTCTCACCCTTATATAGACCAATCTGCTAAATCATCCACTAAAATGGAAAATATGCTAACCATTAACAAGTTTAGTTCACGTAAAATCATATTCCCTTTTCACTGACCATCCCATCAATTATAGTTTAAAATCCGTAATTTCTTGTTCTGGCCGAAGTCCTAACTTACATATGTTGAATTAAGAGAAACCTTCTGTTTCCAATATATCATAAATCCTTGTACCAATTATGAGCAGCAAAAATCAAGTCAAAATTACTAAAGTACAATTTCTCCCTATGTCCACGTATACTTGTATATCCAATAATCGTGAAAGCAATGAATTCCCACTATTCACGCCAATAAAATAACAATCTCAACTAAATGAAAAGAAGCAAAATCACCTCTTACACCAACCAGAGTAATTGCAACTCACAAGTTGAACCTCCACACATGCCCTAACCTAACTAGTAAGGAGTGATAAACCTTACATGTTATAACTTCTCATATAAACAATCACTTTATATAAAAAATATGAAACCAAATGTCACAAATTCATTCATACACACAGAAAATGCAAAAGGGTTACCTACCTGGTAATGAAATGGCAGGGTCATTAACCATAACGGACAATGTCAAGGGACCCATTAAGGCCCACCGACTCCAACACTAACCAAATAACAAAGTAACTGAATTATATATTATCTAACAAACAAAGCATCAAATTTTGAAACAGAACAAAAAAAAAGCAACAATTGTTTTCAATATATTGTGAAGAAAAGAAACAAACGTTTACTGCAGTAGTGAGAAGAGTGATGGAGCTAATACAAGGAAAGTGAAGAGATAACAGTTATGGATAGGGGAAGAGGAAGGAATGTGCAGGAACAAGTTATTTTAGTTTTTATCATCCTAAATTAAACAATGCAATAATTATTGATGCAAGTTGTTTCATAAATTTAGAGTTAATTTCTACTATTATTAGACAAAAATATAAATTATAAACAATTATTATCATGACAACTTTACTTAAAAAAAATAAATCCAAAATATATATTCAAGTAAAAGTTAAACTGTTTTGAAGTTAAAAATAATAATCTGGATAAATAAATGATTTTTTTATAAATTAATTTTATGCTATAAAAAAACTTATTTTTTTCTTTTATGAAATTAATTTATGCACAAAGTCAATTAATATTTATAAATAAAAATAATTTTAAAATTACAACTAATTAATAAGCATTTTGATTGTTATAAAAATTAACAAATTTATATATTTCTCATTATATGATAATATAAATTTTTAATATTTTCATATATAGTATTGACTTCATTATAAAAATAAATAATATAGGGTAAATATATTTTCAATTCCTCTGAACTCAATTTAGATTTTTTATTTATTTTTTATTTTAAACTCACACTATTTTACCTAACTAATGACACTTAATAGGAGTTAGTTTTTTCTTTTAACAAGTGTTTTATTGATTAAAATGGTTTTTTTAACCACTTATATGAAGATTATTTGGTGATGATAATGAGTAGGATTATTTTTCAGTTGAATATTTTAGTTGATGTTGATAATATTTTTTTTATTGACATGAGGATTATTTATTTATCAAAATAGATTATAACTATTTATCAATTGATATTTGTTAAAAAAAAATTGATCAACAGTTGATTGACTTATTTTTTTTATATATGTCAGTTAGGTTTTATTTATTAAAATTTGTAGTGTTAAGTAATGTTATTTGTGGAATGTTTTATTTAAATAAATAAAAAACTAAAATTTAATAATTTTGAACTATTTTATTTATTTATTTAAATAAAACAATTTGAATAGAAAGAAATTAAATTCACTATATTTACATTTATTAAAAACCGTAAATTTTATTATCAAACTCAATGGAAGAATTATACAAAACAAGAAAAAAATAATAAACTAAAAAAAATGGTAGTTGCTTTGTGTTAATTTAATATCAAATTTCTAATTTGCTTTATACTCTTAAAGTAAATGTATTTTTTTGATATTTAGATATGATGAATTAAATTTTATATGCCCCACATTTTTTATGATTGGAATGAAATAATAACTAAGAATCTAAAAACATTAGTCAAACATTGACTACATTTCTTCCTGTTGTGACACTACCATGCTTACAAACTTAAATTTACTGCAACAACTAAACCATTTAGATCTATCATCACTAATCCCTTGTTCACAAGCCAAGACCTTTTTCTATAGAAAAAAGGTGAAAATCAATGCGAATCCGATTAAAACGCCATTAACATTTTGCATTGCTCTAAGAATGTTTCCACTGCTCTGGATTGCTATGGGAAAGAAGCAAGTTCCTTTAGATGGGTCCTCTGTTACAATACCAGCAATCCCACTGAAATCACATGCCTCAACACTTTGATCGTTTATTTGAAAGTATTGATTGAAAGCATATGAAGCATTGCCAAATAGATCCAGGTTTGAACAAGAACGACGAAAACCTAAGCTTGTGCAATCACCACCTTGACAAGCGTAAGATAATGATTCTCCCAAAGTTTGCTTATCGTTTTTATTTTTAATGACACACCATTTGTTCTCTTGGTAAAGAACCCCTTTTGCTGCTATTGGCATTATATCTTGTCCTTGCCCAGAAAAATCAATAGAAAACTTTGGTTTCCCATCATAACGAAAAATACCCCAATGTCGTTCAAAGTCACCTGGTGCAATGCTTTTCTGGTTCTCATCAGTTAGAGAAAATAGATAAGTAACCATAGTGTTTGGGTGAAGTGGAGACCCTTTCTTGTTTGCCATTTTCTTAAGGAAACCTTGGTAGAACCTTTTTGCATTTTCCAAATTGGCATTTTTGTCACCATCAGTTGGCCATCCAACTTCACCTATAACTATTGACAAATTAGGGTGACCAGCTTTTTTCAATGACCAAACAAGGGTATCTAAATTTGCATCAAACATGTTGCTGTAATGTACATTTTTGTCATCAGTCCCTTTAGCATTACCATCAAAAAATGCATATTCCTTTGGAAAATCATCATTTTGATATAGACTAAGGAATGGATATATGTTGACAAGAAATGGTGCCTTATTTTCATCAAGAAACACAACTATTTGCTTCATAAGATCATAAATGTCCTCCCGAAAATTTCCATCTGAGGGTTTGTCTGTTGCAGAATCATAAACATCAGCATTTAAAGCTGTTGTCACCTTGATTTGGTCTCCCAAACCAGCCTTACTGATGGCTCGTTGAACATTTTTCATTGCTGGGAGTGTGATCTCCACAAATGATCCATTGTAAGTTTTCAAGAATGGCTCATTTCCAACAGATATATATCTGCAGCAAAACATAAATAATAAGGTTGAGCATGTTGTTCACAGTAATTAAAAGACTTAAATCATTTTTCTTTAGTCTACATGCTTAAAAACTTAAGTTTATACTATTAATTCGCATAAAGACTGATATAAAAATTTGATGGGAAGTGTAGAGATTGAAATGATTAATGAACCTGATTAACTATAGTGAGAGTTTATGTGAAGGAATTGTATATAAAACACACCTGATGTTGACCCCTTCTTTCACTTGTTTGCTAACATTGTGTTTAACCCAATTTTCTGCTTGATTTTTATGCTTTGACAGTTTCTTTAACATCTCATTAGGAATTCCAACCATGACTTCAATGTCTGAACCAGAAAAAGCACTAACAGTCCAAGGATCTGCATCAAAAAGCTTTATTCTTTTAATCCCATTGTCTTTCAACAAATTCACCACAATAGGAGGATTCAAAGGATGAGATGCTATTGCACCCCAATTGACTCCAATATCTGGTAGAGTTTCTCCTTGGCCACCTTGCAGCTGGCAAAGAGCCATAACCACAATCATTCGAAGCGTCCACATAAAGGATGAGTAGATATTAGTCAATCAAAAAGTTCATCAAAAGACAAATACACGTTATGATTGGATAATTGACAACATTTGAGAAAAAATATTGAATGAGCTTAATCTTTGTGTGTTCAGTTACCTATAGTGTCTAAATAAAGCATTTCAAGGTACTGGTTCTTAAGCTACTTGTGTAACTAACTTTCTATTTGTAGATGTCATGGTAATCTACCATAAGTTTATTAATTTTCTTTCTAATCTGGGAACTTTTCTCACTTGTAGAACAAGTAAAATTATGAGTTTTGTGTTCTTACAATAAAATTACCATATCACATCTTACACAAAAAATTGATGGGAGTAATTTGATTTCTATAATTTGTCTCGGTATATATTGTATATAAAATTATGTTGATCTTGTTCTTACAATAAAATTATCATATCACATCTTACACAAAAATTCAAAATGTAACAAAATAAAAGATAAAAACAATATTTAATTCAATTTTTAAAATATGATGTTAATTTGTATTTACTAACAATATTTACATCATTAATTAATTATGATTTATTTCAAGATTAAATATGAGAGCGTTCCTTCTAATATATCCATTTTATGGTAATTTCTTAATGTTTTTTAGTCTTTATAATATAAATTTGTACTATTTTATTTTGTTTTTATAATTTTGTCCTGTAATATTTTTTAATTCATAAAATAATATATTATTTTTAATTTACTAAATCATAATAATTTGACACTAATATCTTTATTTAATCATTATAATATTTTTAAATAATAACACTAAGACATACTTTAAATTTAATATATATATATATATATATATATATATATATATATATAAAATTCAATAAGGTAATTTACAAATTATTTTTTTATAAAATAAAAAATTAAATGAAATTTAGTAATATTAACATTAATGTGAAATTATATATAAATAAAAAAATTAAAATTATTAATTTTATTATTGTTTAAATAAATGACATAATACTTTTAAATAATCATAAAATAATAAATATTGAAATTGTAAAAATTATTTTATATTAAACATGTAAATAGTTCTTATAATAAAATAAATGTGTTAGAAAGACTATTATCATATTTAAACCTTTAAAGCAATATATACTAGTGGCAGGTGCTAAAGCTTTTCATATGATTATTATTATTTTTCTTTGATTTTTTTCATTCATATGTTATATTACACTTTTTTTTCCTTTCCATTTCTATTAATTCTTTAAAGGAATAAATTATAATAATTATTTTTTATATTATCTTTATCATTTTATAAATTATAATATATTATATAACTTTTTTTCATTATACAAAATCTCCTTTATATATAATATTTTTTTTACTCCTTAAATATATTTCACGTTCTTTTTCCATTTACTTTACGTGATTTTCTTTTCCTTTCCAATAATAAAAAAATAAATAGAAATTTTTTATTTATATATATTAATGAAATATAGTAAATATATATTTTATAAAATATTATTTTACTTTTTTAATCTCTTTAAATATATTCTTTTTTCTTTATTAACTATATAAGATATTTTTTTCATATTTCATTATTTTTTAAATATATACATTATAATAATATTTTTAAATTATAATATATTTTTTTTAATAATATAAAAACAGTTAAAAAAAATCTTCATATATAATTATAAAGTGAAAATAAATGTTATAATATTTTGCGTATCAATATTTTTTATATTATATATATATATATATATATATATATATATATATATATAACATTTTCAAATTAATAAACCTAAAATGAATTTAACTACTATTTTGGTCTTAGATTATAGAATGCTATATGTTTATGCACAAAGTGTTGAAAGACCTCAGTCTAAATAAATTCTTCTTAAGCCGTTTTTATTTCTAGGCTTAACCCCTGCCTAAACCCTAGTATATATATAACAGTTCTTTCTTCCCTTCCTTTCTTTTCTGTGTTATTCAAATTCAAAATCCCCCTGTCGCTGCCGTCGTCTTACTCCAGGTTCTATTTTCCTCAATTTCATTCACTATATTGCACCCTAACATGTCGTTTTCATCTTCACTCTAGGCCTTTATCGTGCATTAATTTGTATTAACGCTGTTACTATTGTGTTACCCCTGTGGGAACACAAATTTCAATTATAAAATGAGGATTTTGAAGTTTCAAAATTAGAATTATTTGAATTTGGGGAATGATTATTATTTTTCTTCTTCTTATTATTAGTATTTCTGTCGATTTTCTTGGGTTTGATGCCAAGTGGTGATTTGTGAGCAGTTAAATTTTGTAGCAGAGAAATGAGGAAGAAGGTGGACGAGCGAATCAGAACTTTAATTGAAAATGGTGTCAGAACCAGACACAGGTCCATGTTCGTCATCATCGGCGACAAGTCTCGTGACCAGGTCTTTGTTATAGCCTTGTAGTGATATACTTCATAGGATTGGAACCATTTTGGAAACTCTATTTAACTTGGTAGAAGTAAATAGTAGTGCAATTTGAGTGCTTAGAGCAGTGTTTCTTCTATGTGCAGATTGTTAATCTTCATTACATGCTTAGCAAGGCGCAGATTAAGTCCAGGCCGACTGTGTTGTGGTGTTATAAGGACAAGCTTGAACTGAGCAGGTTCTATATACAATTGATGAAACTGTCTAGTGTAAATGTATTTTTTTTTTTTTTTTATAGTTGTTTTGGATGTGTTTGATTTGAGCTTGATTAAGATGATTATAAATGCGTTAATGCAGTCACAAGAAAAAGCGTAGCAAGCAGATAAAAAAATTGATGCAGAGGGGTCTTTACGATCCAGATAAAGGTGATTCGTTTGAACTGTTTGTGGCAAGTGGGGGATTAACATATTGTTTATATAAGGAATCAGAAAGAATTCTTGGTAATACCTTTGGCATGTGTGTACTTCAGGTATCATACACTTCCTTCTATCTCATTGTCTTTTTTAGTTGTGCTTTCTGGTGTCCTTTGTTTCCTTTCTCTGAGATAAAATGAATTTTCCATCTTCTTTCCCTTTAGGATTTTGAGGCATTGACGCCTAATCTCCTAGCAAGAACTATAGAGACCGTGGAGGGAGGAGGATTGATTATTTTGCTGCTTCGTTCTCTATCCTCGCTGACAAGTCTGTACACCATGGTGATGGTATGAATATAGACTCATTAGAATTGACATTCTAGTTTTTTTTTTTTTTTTAATTCCTATTCTTTTGGTTGATTAAAAGTGTTCTCTTAGGCTATTGTACTCCCTATTTTTGCTGTTGATTATAAGTGTTCATCTGACTATGTGGGAGGTTTGTTGTTGGACTAAATGAGTTAAAAGGACTCGAGCTTGATCTTGTTAATTTGGCCCAACATTTCTTCGGTGGTAATTGGGGTTTCCTTTAGTTGAAGTAGAATAACCAGAAGCAAATTTTCATCAGAATTGTGAGGATTCTAGATTTGTTATTAAAATTAGAAACTGGAAATTCATCTTTGATATCGAACATTCCAAGTCTAGAGTTTAGTAAACTGTGTTTATGTATTTCTAATTTCTAATTATTACTGCTGCGACTGTTAGCTAGTGGTTCTTTACATTTAATTGAAATGGATTTGATATCTCTCTTGAGTCGCCCTTCAGTATACTGGGTTTGTTTCCTTTATTTTTTTAGTTTTGTAAATAATCTTTTACAATTATCCTTTTTTTTTTCTTTTATCTTACTAATATTGGTTTATATAAAAATTGTTATAAATTTAACCATAATTTGATATCAAAGTTAGCCTACCTAAAGTTTTAAAAAATAGAAATAAAACAATGGAAGAAACTACCTATTTGAAAATTGTTATAAATTTAACCATAACAAGATAGCATACCTTAGGAGACTCAAGGTTGGCTTGATGGTAAAATTGGAAGAAAGGGAGGGATAGATTGTGGGTGTGCCTCTTCACAAAACCTAATACATTATCAAATATTTTTTCAATTAGAAGAGATAGCATAGCTCTATGTGTTTGATATTGTCTTCAGTAAAATAAGTGTGTTGTACGTTAGGCCATTACTTACCATGCTGCTTTTCTGTTAATCTCATTAACATTCAAATTTCATGTGGATCATTGATGACAGGATGTCCATGATAGATTTCGAACTGAATCCCACTCTGAGGCTACTGGGCGCTTTAATGAACGGTTCTTATTGTCATTAGCTTCCTGCAAGGCATGTGTAGTCATGGATGATGAACTGAATGTATTACCAATTTCATCACACATAAGGTGTATTACCCCAGTTCCCACTAAAGAGGTACTTCCGTTATTACGTATTTGTTGATCACATCGCTTGTTTCATGTCATATGGTAAGGTTTAAATACTTGATAGGCTACTCCACATATTACCAATTAGTTTTATGTCGGGATCTTAACATAGTATCAAAGGTAAAGCCTATAACTTCTTTCCGATTATTGTCTTGAGTCAAAAGTACCCTTTATTGTTATCTTGGGCCAAAAGTTGCTCTTAAATACACTTTGTCTGGTCCAGCAAGCTTCGTTGAAGAGGGCGTGTTGAAAGTTCCACATCGTCTGTCTTATGCCATATGATATGGTTTAAATACTTGTTAGGCTACTCCACATATTGTTAATTGGTTTTATGTTAAAACCTTAATAGTATTAAACGAAATATTTCTTTTACCCTTTTTTTTTTGTTGGGTTTTTGTATTGTTTTAGGTTTTAATGCATGAAAGACCTACTTTTGATGATAGCATAAGTGCAAAACAATTTTTTTTTTCTTTTAAATATTCTCACAGGTTGTAATTCTTAGTTTAGTTTAAGTATGTAATTTCTCTTGAAGCGAAGATTATAGTACAAACAAGTCCTTGTATCTCCCTCAAGAATCTGTAACAATAGTGTTCCTATATGTTTTGCTTTTTAATGTATGATATAGATGCTTCAGAATTGTAGTGATAGTTTTTTAAGCATTTGACATCTGTGAATGTTATATTTGTAAAGATGGTGGAGAGAGATAATACATGAAGGAAGATGCAACATGGAAGAGACTCTAGAGACTAATTATGTAATGGGGTGATATGTAAACACACACACACACACACACACACACACACACACACACACATATATATATATATATATATTGAAAACATTATCATTATAATTTTTGGAGTTATTATTTTCTATTTTTTGGTGGTGTAATATAGTTAGACATTTTGTAAGTTTTGGTCTTGTTATTTGAATAACTATTAGTCTGACAATCTAAGTATCCTAATTACATCTAATTGTAGTGTATGGATGCAATTTTTTAAATAATATTACCAAAGTTATTTAAACTATATTGCAGGATTTTTTTTCTTCTATCTTGCTTGGAAACCAAGTGTAATGGTTTTTTCTTTAATTTTGGTGTATGTAAGTCTCAAAATTGATGCTGTAGGACTCTAATGAACTCTCAGAGGCAGAACAGGAGCTGAAGAACCTTAAAGAACAACTAAATGAAGATTTCCCTGTTGGTCCATTGATTAGGAAGTGTTGCACGATGGACCAGGTTGGATCTTTTACCTTAACAGCATTTTCTTGTTCGTCCAACCAAATGAGTTTTTGGGTGGCGGATATGAGCAAGTTTTTTTTTATTTGATTCTTGTAAATAGGGAAAGGCTGTTGTGACATTTCTGGATGCAATTTTGGACAAGACACTTCGTAGTACTGTTGCTTTATTGGCTGCTCGTGGCCGTGGGAAATCAGCTGCACTTGGTTTATCAATTGCTGGAGCTATAGCTGTGGGGTACTGTTCCATCTGGACATTCATATATTTGTATGGATAGTTACAACAATTTTTTTAGTAGCTTACAATAAAATTATGTGTGTAGGTATTCAAATATCTTTGTGACTGCACCCAGCCCTGAGAATTTGAAAACCTTGTTTGATTTTATATGCAAAGGTTTTGATGCTCTTGACTACAAGGTACTGATTCTCTCTCCTGTTCACAGCTACAACCATTACTGTTTAATTAGTATGGATTTAGTTGCAAAAGTTCCAAAGATGACAATTGGGCACTTTAACTTTTGCCATTAAGTAAGCATAAGTCCCAAGGATGGCAGCTGGGCTGTATAACTTTGGTAATAATGTGACCACTGGCATTTATGTTTGATTTCTCTGTGGCTCATTGCCCATCTTAATCATTATATGTAGTGCATGTTTGGATTAATTTATCTACAGAAAATTGATGCTAGAAAAAAGGTGACCCAGTACATGGGGCTAAAAAGTGAAGTACACTAAAGTTGCCTTACCAAACATACCAGCTTTTGTCCTTAAATAAAGCTGTTTATCAAAATTTAATCTTTTGCAAAATACACTTTAAGAGGGCGACTGTTTCCAATGACAATAGGAACATATAGATTTTGATGTGGTGAAAAGTGTGAATCCTGAGTTCAAGAAAGCTACTGTAAAAATCAATATTTACAAGCACCACAGACAGACAATTCAGGTAAGTTCTTTGATTCTTCTGCATTAATACTGTTAAGGGAACTTACTGTTGCTCTGAAGTTACAAATAAATTTAATTCTGAACTTATTTTTCATCTTAATTTCTAATTTTCTATCAGTATATACTGCCAAATGAGCATGAAAAGCTTTCACAAGTTGAACTGTTGGTTGTTGATGAGGCAGCTGCTATTCCACTTCCAGTGGTGAAGTCTTTACTGGGCCCTTATCTGGTCTTTCTGTCTTCTACTGTTAATGGGTATGACTACTTTTTTTTTTTTTTTTTTTTTTTTTTATGGTGAAATCTTCATATATGCCAAATGCAATTTTTTTGTAAGCAATTATCAATCCTTTCCTTAGTCAATGTTATGTCTCCTGAGGTAATAGAGCTTAACTTCTGATGTGGCTTAACTACTGACTTTTTTTTTGGTAAACATGTTTGTAGTTATGAAGGCACTGGACGGTCTTTGTCACTAAAACTTTTGCAGCAGTTGGAAGTGCGAAGCCATGCATCTGCTAAGGGCACAAAAGACACTGGTAATTTACACTTCTGGCTTTGAAGTCAAATTAAATTTAAATAAATATTCTGCTTTTCATGTGCTGCTGTTCTGAACAAAAACAAGATCTGAGTTGATTATGAAATAGAGGTCATTGGTTTTCAATGATTCATTAAATGATTAATATATTTTTCAAGGTATGTGTGCATTAATGTTGAGTTGATGTTTCAGGCCGTCTGTTTAAGAAAATAGAATTGAGTGAATCCATCAGATATGCTTGTGGGGATCCCATTGAAAACTGGCTTAACACTCTACTTTGCTTAGATGTTTCAAATGCCATTCCGAGTCTTAGCAGGTTTGATCAAAGTGTTTTTCATATTTCCCGTGAAAGTGAGACCATTATGTGTATCTCCATTTATTGTTTTTCTTCTGAAATCAGGTTACCTCCACCCAGTGAGTGTGATTTATACTATGTTAATCGTGATACCCTCTTCTCCTATCACAGAGATAGTGAATTATTTTTGCAGGTAAAATCTAATTTATCTGATTTTGTAGGGTGGATTGAGATTGATATTTTCATGTGTTTGAATTCTGTACTAAATATTGTATTATTACAGCGAATGATGGCCTTATATGTTGCATCTCATTACAAGAATTCTCCAAATGATTTGCAACTGTTGGCAGATGCTCCAGCACACCATTTATTTGTACTACTTGGTATAATTTGGTTTCTTACTAGTTATTCTTTTTTTTTTTCCTCATTGTGATTTGATTTAGTCTTATAATAGTATTTGTATGACAGGGCCTGTTGATGAATCAAAGAATCAACTACCTGATATTCTGTGTGTCATTCAGGTTTGCATCTTTGATATGGATCAACCTATTTTTCTGCTCTATTTTTGCATGTGGCCTGTCTCGTTGGCTCCCATAACTGGTCTTGCCTTCTCTGTTTTGACAGAACATGTTATTTACAATTTTCTCCTCACTTGGGCCTTATGTGTGTGCTGAATACCAGTTAACCATTATATTTTCCCACTGCTTGGTTATGACGAGGGAAATTGTTGATTTGTTTCTAGTTATATGACCAATTATGAAGCTTCAAGCATGTAGCATATTGTGAAAACTGTTATTTTGATACTGATATTATTTCCAGTCTGGGACACTATATTGTATTGGTTTAGAATTCTTGAAGGTTGGAGTTCTCTTTGTTTAAATATTGATGCTTGATGGAATTTATCATTTTTTTAATCAGTTATTTTTAAGCTACTGTGTATATGCATGAATTCTGTTTTTTTCTTTATCACTCTAAATTTTATTTTATGTTTGCTTTAAATTTGGCTTATGGTTATACTATAGATGGTTATGCTATAGATGGTTATGCATATTATACCTCCCCTGTTTGACTTTTATGTGACTTCAATTTTCCATAACATTGATTTTCAGGTTTGCCTTGAGGGACAGATTTCTCGTAAGTCAGCTATCCAAAGTTTGAGTGATGGTCATCAACCTTTTGGAGATCAAATACCATGGAAATTCAGTGAGCAATTCCGAGATACAGTTTTCCCCTCACTTTCTGGTGCTCGTATTGTACGCATAGCGACACACCCTAGTGCCATGAGGGTAAAATTTATACTCTGCTCTGGAATATGGTTTAAGCAGATTCCAACAAATTTGTAATATCTTTCTTTAATTTCAGCTTGGATATGGTTCACAAGCAGTTGAACTTTTAGTTCGGTGAGTGCATGGCTGCTTTCTTTCAATTAGAGTAATTTTCTTATTATGCTTTTCTTTTAACACAAGGTTCCATGAGCATTCAATGTTCCTAAAAAGTTTAATATTTGATTTTGTTGGGTAGGGTCATGTTTCAACAGTGTGTTAGAAAATATATATGATATTTGTGTGTATAGCCAATTATTTCATCAAGGTTCTAATTTAGGAGTGGCTTCATCTAGTTTTTAGGATTTTAATTTTTGTAATTAATTCAGTATCAGTATAAATATATTCCTGTGTGGTCTGATCTGATTACTCAAGAATTCCATCTTACTCTGAGTTTACTAGTCTAAACCTTGGGACGTTAGGCTCTAGGTCAAGAAACAGCCTTTATGTTTATGGGGAAAGTCTAAGTACTTCTTACCCTCCTAGACCCCACAATGGTGATGGGAGCGTTATGCGCAGGGCTGCCAAAAAAATGTTTTGGTTTGTGTGTCAATTGTCCTGTTTGACAGTGTAATGTGTATCATAGACCTACAGGTTAACCTACTCTCTAATTGGTCATGACAGCTGTTTAGTCTGTGACAGCAGCTGTTTACTCTTTTATACATGTCAAGATGTTTAGTGCAGAACATCATCAATTAATCATTTATTTCACTATTTGCAGATACTATGAAGGACAGCTCACTTCTATTTCTGAGATTGATGTTGAAGATGAAGGGAAGACACCTCGAGTTAGAGTTACAGAAGCTGCAGAAAAAGTATGTTACCACTAAAAATCCCTTTTTCGAATAGGTTTAATTAGTTGGGTTCATTATTGAAGTCTTTGAAAGTTTAGCATATCAGTGGTATTGGAACTATCTAGGATTCCTTTTTGCACTGGTAATTCCAAGATCCAACTAGTAAAGACAGAATTTTGAGAAAATTGTCATTGGTATTAATTATACTAATAGAAACACAGATGCTGTGGCACATGTGTGTCCCCATTTTTATTATGGTACTGAATAAAAATAAATAATATGGTTTTAGAAAATAAAGAGCGAAAAGGGTATGGTCCTCTTATTAAAACTGGAAAGTCATAAAAAAAATAGAGATTATCTTTGCTTATAGGCATAAGTATGGCTAATTGGAAAAAATGTGTTATGAAAGTAGAGTTTATGTTTGAAACCCTCATGTTGAAATAGAGTGTGGAGAAAACCTACGTCCATTGAAGATAAAGAAAAGAGAGTGTATGGTTACTTTGTAGAAAATGATATGAAAACTGAATGCAGTCACTTGTTTTGATGATGTGGCAGTTCCTCTCAGCTGTTGAATGATAAAATATTTGAAGTATTATCGGAGAAGAAATACATATTAAAGGGTAACAAAATAAAATTTGTACACCAAATGTGGATATCCCCATCATATTAGTTATAAATTAAAAAAATGTCATAACAAGGACTTTACCTTAGAGGAGGCTTTGGAATTCTGAGTAGTTTTATGAAGACGAATGATTCTCCAATTCAACAAATGTGATAGGAATTGTAAGATTTTCATGAAATTTTGTCGGAAGGATCAGGAGAGCAACTGGGCTGGAGGACAGAGTGCATGCATTTTTTCTGTTGAAAGGTCTCAAACCCATATTCATTTCGAAGATACAATTTGTTGCTTCTCAGTAAACGAAAATTTGGAATGTAATCCAACCATATACACCGGCAATCCAAACACATTTGAGAATCACTTGAGACCCAGAGTCTCAGTTGGGAGGTTTACCTATCTTCTGAGCTATGGAAAGAATAGAGATCCGTAAAGATTGAATTTTTAATTTTTAATTTAGAATTATGGACACACAGATGATGCTTATATCTGATTTCCTAGTTAGGTTGCACAATCTCATTTAGATTCAGCTAGCAGTAAAATTTGGTGAATGAGTTATCTGATATTATTCGATTCCTAATAAAATAAAAAGGATTCCCTGTTCACAAGGCAATCTACCAGGCTACCACCAATTTGAAGTTTAGGGTAATGAGTGGAGAGGCTGCTTTTGCATCCAAAACTTGTGACCAAGTCTCCATACAACAACTTTATTGTTATACCTACACTCACCCTCATAGTTTAGTAATATCGTAACATGGAATTTGTTTGGTTCTTCAGTTTTTTTATGCTGCTCTTTTGGGCTTTTTGACCAGCTTTTACATATAGTGGCCAGCTATTGTAACTAAGGTTTTATTTTTTGTGGGTTAATGAATAAGCGATTTGATGACTGTTGTCAGTTTGATCCTGTCTTCATTAACTTAATGAAGTATCTGATATTCCATGCTGTGTAGGGAGTTTCTTGTTTCTAGCATTTTTGTGTCTCACTTGCATATATCTTTCAATAGTATATGCTGTTTTTTTTTTTTTTTTTCCAAATAAAGATGCAATATTTTCTTGCTTCTTTCATTTGCTATATTTTTTATTTCATGGGGAAAGACAAACATTATTTTTAGACTGGTGCTTACTGTCGTATGTTAATGACTGAATTCAATTACACTGCATAGTGCAGTTTAAGCAAGAATAACATGCTATATTTGATTTGTTATTTCCTGTGCCTTTTAACTCAATTACTTTTATATTTATCTTTTCAAATATGATTTAGCCTTTTCATGATACTACTATAGAATATGGATTCAGGTTTCACTACTTGAAGAAAATATAAAACCTAGAACAGATCTTCCTCATTTGCTAGTACATCTGCGTGAAAGGCGGCCAGAGAAGCTCCATTACATAGGGGTCTCCTTTGGGCTAACTTTGGACCTTTTTCGCTTTTGGAGGAAACATAAATTTGCTCCTTTCTACATTGGCCAGATTCCAGTTAAGCGTTATATTTTCCTAATCAGTAAATAAGACTAAATTTATTTTTACGAGTAATTAACGTGTTTCTTCAACTTTACAGAATTCTGTTACTGGTGAGCATACGTGCATGATCCTAAAACCCTTGAACAATGATGAAATTGAAGCTGATGGATCAAATCAGTTTGGCTTTTTTGATCCATTTTACCAAGGTGGATTTCTCCTCCTTTGCTGTTATGATTTTGTGTTTGATATTATAATCCAATTTGTTTATGGTTTGATGACTTAGTTAGTCTATTGCAGATTTTAGACAAAGATTTGCTAAACTTCTTGGTTCGACCTTTCGTAACATGGAATACAAGCTTGCTTTGAGGTTTGATTTAAGAGTTTAGTAGTTCACTGTTTTAAATTCTAATATATTGATGTTGATATTTTGGAGTTATCGAATTCTAAGGAACCAGGGCTATGTATTACTGATAGTTAATTATATAGACGAATCAAAATTTTCACATCTTTATTTGTTCATTTTGGATAAAAGAAGTGTTGGTAAATGCAAAGCAAAAAGTATTTGGGACAAAACAAAGGATTCAAAAGAAAAAAGAACTTGACATTTCAATGTCTTTCAACACAATGTCTAATAACCTTGATACAGAAGATATTTATCTTCACTATCTTTACTACACTCCCCATCAAGTTTTTGATAAATCAATATCAATTATTTCCAATTTGCAAGTAGGTTCTTGGACTCTTGCTGTAGGGATTCCATTGATGAATAAGTCTGCCAATTGGAGTCCTTGAGAGCTTATTTTAAAACTCTAGGCCTTTACAGTTTCTTGAACTATGTAAGATATACGTCTCTCATTATATCTCTATTTCTCTAAATGCTTATTTTAATGATGATTTATCCAGCATAATAGATCCAAAAATCAATTTCAAGGACCAAGACCCTACGGAAACCACATCTGATAAATATTTGCAGTCAATCAGAGAATATTTATCACCACATGATATGAAGCGTTTAGAGGCTTATGTTGACAATCTTGCGGACTTTCACCTGGTAAGAGCTCAAGTGATAGATATGATACTGATCAGTTTCCTAGATGGTTTCTTGATGTTGACATATCGAATGCTTTTTTGGTTATTGAAAATTGTTGTTCTTCAACTTCTAATAAGATCATCAGTATGTGAGAATTGTAATGATCAAGTTAAAGGCACTTAATGTAACCCCAAATATCTTGCACTGTCACTGCTGAAGTTGTGATGTAACTGTAACAAACTTAGTTCATTGAAATTACATAACTTGAATATCTTTTAAATAAATTTTGAGTGCTTTTAGGTTTGATTGACCCTTTTTCTCTTTGACTAGATCTTAGATTTGGTTCCAACGCTTACACATCTGTACTTCCGACAAAAGCTCCCAGTTACGATGTCGTATGCTCAAGCTTCTGTGTTACTCTGTATCGGTCTACAGAATCAGAACATTTCATACATTGAGGTTTGTTTGTCAACTTAATAATTTTTTAGTTGAAATATTGTATTACACTCGGATGACTTGTTACCGCTGGATTCCTTGCCAAAACAATAAAGGACACCTAAAGTTGAATCCTAATTAGTTAATTTATATGCATTGTTAGTGTAAATTTTTTTATACAGACATCAAATAAGATTTCTTTTGCTGCCACATTATATTAATGAATGGGATGAATTCTTAGTGAATGCATATGCACAAAAGTTTAACAATGATTGTGCATTTCAATTAAATTCAAATCCTATAATGAGATTTACACAACAAACCTTGTCTCACTGGGTGAGGTCAGTTACACATGCACAGTCGTCTTTTAAAATGTAGCAGACATTGGCCAGTTTATCATGATATACGTTCTCTATCAAATCAATGAATCAGTCTAAAATTGATTGTTTGATTTTGTTTTGAGTTTTCAATAAGATGGAATCAAATGTCTTATATATCCCCTTTTTGTTTAACAGGGACAAACGAATTTGGAAAGGCAAACAATTTTATCTCTATTTATAAAGGTAATGAAGAAGTTCTACAAATATCTAGATGGCCGTGCATCCAAGGAGATTGAATCAACCTTGCCAAGACTGAAAGAAGTAAGTCTCTTGATGACCATTTTACCTGTATATTCCATGACGAAGATCTCCTTTTTGGGTTTTTCCCTCCTTTTTCACATTCACTAATCTTACACCCCTCCTTTTTTGGGTTATGTTCTGTTTTGTCAATAGATTGTCATGGAACCTCATAGTGTCTCTGTGGACGAAGATCTCAACAATGCAGCTAAACAAGTTGAGGTATGTGCCTTCATCTTTTTGTATTCCTTTTAGCTCACATCATCTTACGTATTTGTCATTGGATAGGATGACATGAAATCAAAAGCAGAATCACTCTTTACTCCGGAATTGTTCCAGCAGTATGCCATTGAAGATGGAGAATCTGGCTTTGAGACTGTTTTGCAAAATAATGGTGGAAAAGTACCCACTGGTGGTCTTATTAGCGTGAAATCCAGTAGAAGTGCAGTGAAGCCTGAAAAGGAGGACAGTCACAAGAGTGACAAAAGGCGGAGTAAAGATAACCACAACCATAAATCAAGCAAAAGGAGAAAATCTTGAATTAAATATGATGATAAGAACCATCCAAAGATAAAAATTTATGATGATTTCAGGGATTGTTGGTCCTCTAGTCAGAACAGCACATAAGGTCAAAATGAACGTCCAAATGAAGGGGATGAGAGAATCCACTGACAAGAAGCTCAGTTCATATCCTGGACTCACCTGTGCATGGTTGGCTGTGGAATCTTCTTCATGGATTTCAAGTGCAGGATTATTTATTGTTGCAGCAACAGTCGAATTTGATTTTTTCTTTCATGTTTTCATGCGAAATAGTTGGCAACATAACTGCATTATTATAAATGCGACGGCTGCAGAGAAATATATTCATGGTGTCATTTACCAGTCTTTTTGGCGGGTAAAGGATGATCACAATCTATATAGGATTTCCTCCATTTTTTTGGATAACTAGATGTGTATTAAGTGATGCGATTTTTTAAGAAAAATATATCTATAGGAGACTTCATCAATATGATACGAAATTATACTGAGGTCACTTGACATTAGTATTGATAGAGTTATCAAAACAGGATCCAGTCGAATTTGGTTTCACCTAAAATTGATCTATATTTTTAATCAGGACAAATTTTATTTTTTTTTATATCTAATCTAATTTAACGTTAGGTTGATAGGTTAATGGTCAATTTTAATTTAATTTTTTAAAAAATTATTAACATGTGTTTGTAAAAAAAATAATTAACTAAAAAATATATAAAAAATAAAAATACATTTTAAAATTTAAAATTATATTAGAGAAATTAATGTTTATTTTAAATATAATAATTTATTAATCTAAAATAACAATTCAATCATTATTATTAAAAATAGAATAAATAGATATTAAACATTTTTTCATATAAATCATTCATCTAATTAATATATATATATATATATATATTAATAAAATAATTTTATTTTTATTTAAAAATTTATTATTATTTTATAAAACTAGTGATGAATTGGCATTGCAGAGTTCATAGCGATTATAAGAATGATAATTTAGGAATGTAAAGAGGTTAAATTGATCTACCAGTGCATTTATTTTTAACATTTTATCCAGATAAAATTTGTTTAAATATACGTATATTGTAATACTAGATGATAGAACCTTGAGAAATTTATACATTGGTTTTGACAAGCAACAGACCAATTGCCTTCCTTTGAGAATTTAATCTGGAGATGTGCTGAACATAACCGGATTGAGAATACTAACACTTCTATTGACTTGGCACCAACAATCAGACAGGCATCTGCTTTGGATCTTGAATTTGGACTGTAGTGTGTAAACTTGAACCCTCTGGAATTCCCAGGGGAGGATCTATGCATGAACAATTGTCAACATTATATAGCTCCCACTCTTTAATTTCACATTTGTCAAGTGCTGCAACAATCTTTGTCCTCTGTCTGTCACTTGGAAATGTTCCATCTGGACTAACAAGTACTGCCCCGGTATAAGACTGCCCTGCAACTCTTGCAGCACCATGATAATGGAACAAACCCCAACTAAGATCATCGGCTACATCCACAATTGTCCAAAACTCATTTGAAACAACTCCATTATCTAATACACTGAAATAGAATGTGCCGGGTACCTTACCCCTTCTCACCCTGTATTTTCTCCTCCTCCACACCATTTGACCTTCCAATGTTTTTACCTGGAATACTGGTTCATACCAGAATGACCCTTTTGCCTTTCCCCTATAGAATAGTTGGTATTGGCATGGAAATTGATCATATGCTGGATTCTGCCCTGCTACCACACGCCAGCTCCACTGCAAACTCCCCAACCATCCAACAAACAAATCTTCTGCCATTTCATAATTTAAGTCCTGCCCTCGAAACTTGATCAATGGAGGCACATATGGCTGGTCAGGGACTTCTGCCTCCAACTCAAGACAGTTGTTTTTTTGTAAAACACATAGGGAAAAGGCTTCTAGATTTGCACTTTCATATGAAGCAATGCATCGGTAGTTGCATACTTGATCAACAGGACTACACCGATTCAAACATTGAAGAGCTTTTCTACAATTGGCATCCAACAAGCAGTTAAGTACCTGACGACCACAGTTCCTCAACATACAGTTTAGGGTAGAAAAACCTTTCGCTCTTAAGTTATTCAATACTGGAACGGGCCTTATATATGCATTGATTACTAACAGCAAACAGAACCTTATATCATCAGAATTATGTCGATCCCATGCTTCAGATATTGTTTGCACTACTTCATACGATTCTTTAGCTTTATCAGATTGAGAAGTTCCAAAAAAATTTCCAAATATACTACCTCTCACTTCACTCGGAACATCATAGCCTCCTAATCTGTTCTTCAAATCCGATGAAGAGTCAAGGCAGATTACATTTTTAATAGTTTTGCTGCTGTTATTTATCCACTCAACTGATTCCTTGTTTGTAACAGCAACAATCACCATTATATCAGCATTCTGTAATTCTTTCTGAAGTCTCGTGAACATTTGTCCGCTAGATACAATACATTCATCAGTAAATACAACAAGCTCATATCCTTCATCAACCCATTTCAATCTCTTTGCCTGGTAAAAAGGAATATTAATGGTACTGGATCCAATAAAAAAATTTACCCCCCTATTCATACCAGAATATTATGATAAACATACCACACGTTAATACGACACATCACACGAAGATTATATATATATATAACCACTAAAATAAATAATTTTGCATACAAGATTAAGTATTTATAATTACAAAAACTAGTAACTAAATAAAAAACAAAAGAGAAAAAGATAGTAAACTAACAATTTTCAACGTAGGAAGTTGCATTGCAGTACGATAAATAATGAAAAAAAAGTAACATTCTACTCTTTCTTTGTAAAGAAAATGCTAAATAAAAAAGTAAACATATCTAAAAGCCTTGAAAATATAGAGCATAAGAGGATTTAGAGTTATTAAAAAAAAAAAAAAAAAAAACTTTTCAACCACAGAAACTCAAAGAAAGGGGGAGAGAGAAGGTACGTAACAGTGTGAAGCATGACTTGTTCCCAAGATACGGACTTGAGAGGGCTGGCAGTTCCGTGGCCAACGACAGCCACCATCCTCACCGGCGGCACGAGTGGCTGCTCCGCCTTCACGGCGGAGAAGACGGTTGTGGGAGGGCGAAAGCGAGTGTGAGTGTGTGGCCGTGAGGGGAAAGAGAAAGATGTATGAGGGTGAAAGGGAAGAGTGAAAGCATGAAGAGATAAAGCATTATAAAAACACTTAAAACCGAATGTTTCAACATTTTTCAGTTGCAAATTCAGAGACATGTAATAACTCACAAAAAGGATTTTTCTCTGTCTTCCAAAAACACACTCACTGAAAATCTTCATTTGAGAGTCTTCTACATAAATATTTTCTTTTTCTTTTATAATGTGAACTTACGATAAAGCCCTCTGATCTGGAATCTTCATTCTTCATCGAATTCATGACTTTTAAAATATGAATTAAGAAGAAGAATACGAATGAATTTTCGTTTCGCAGGTGCTAAAGTGAACAGTGCAAAGTCAAGATGGAAACACAATTAAAGGGGTAAATCGGAAAACGAATAAAACAATTTCAATGACTAAAATTAATATTATAAATTATAATTAATAAAGTTATGAGCGAAAAAGCCATAATCATACAAAATTTTCTGATCAATATGTAATTATGAATCTAATTGTTATAAATTGGTGCTTCACTCTAGTGAACGTCCTCTTTCTAAATTTCAGATTAATTTAAAAACTTAAACACGTACACTATTTTTCCATCTAGTTTCTATTCAGTTTTTTTTTCTCGACAAATATTACTATGTAATTTTCTTAGTAAGCAAACAATAGAATGTATAGAAACAGACTAAGTGTTCCCACAAACATACTAACCTTACTAACCTTCCAAATGAACAACTTTAATGTGAAATCGTTTTTCCAAAATAACAAAACTTAGACTGATCCATGCTCAAACAATTCGTTTCGAAATGTATATACCAAACCTAGGTTTTATCTAAGTTTTTACCTGACTTAAAAACCAAACCTCACCAGTAATGAATCACAACACAGAATAAATACAAATCAAAATTTAAGGTCGGTATGTCGCTCATAAATAAAAGGAGATGATAAAACGTGGTTTAGTACATCGTAACATGTTTTTGTTACCTTTTGAATAACTCCATAGAGTAATTGTTTTCAATAATTTAATTCTTCCAAAAGGAAAAAGAAAATGTTATCTGAAAATGAATTTGCTTAAATTTCATATCTATTATACTAAAGAACTATTTTTACCCTCACAAAACAATACACCACAAAATCCTCCCAAAACTTTGCATAAGAAAAATATATTTAAATTGCTTTAAATATTATTTTAAACATGACATTTGACTAGTCTCCATTCCCTATAACACAAATCTCCATAATGTCATTGTACACCTAATTAACAGATATTTTCATTAATTTTTCACTAGAATGTTAAAAAAATTCACATTGAACTGTGTATTTATAATCTTCACACTGAATTGTGTACTTGTAATCTTTCCAATTAAACAAACGGATGAAATTTTATAAATAATTTCATGTTATATTTAAGCCAGATCCCTCATAACATGACACATACAAATTTACATCTAAAATAATAACTTTAAATTTAGTTATCCTTCTACTATTATTCGTCAGCCAGGAATTTGAACTACTTGTCATATAGCACTAACTCAAGAATCCAGATGGTGAATCTGTAACTTGCATGTTCATGTAAGACATCTTTTTTTAAAATGTTGTAAGATTGGTGGCTGGGTCGTGAACTTTCTATTAATGAAATGGATGGGATCCATATATCGGGAACAGGCATGATAGATATCAATAGGAATAAATACTTGGGAAACGTGACAAGAAAATTTTAGAAACAAATTGATCGCCTCAACTTCCAGTTTAACATGGAATTTAAATACAAAGACCTTGAAAAAAACTCAATCTTCAACTGCCACCAATGTTGCACTTCAAAACAAGTGGTGTATACTACTTATTGAAGAAACACAACTTCATCATTTATCCAAATGCAATAATTTCTAATGTGCCGAAACATCTTTTAAGACATTTTTAAAGGAAGTTTCTGATGTCCAAAGTTTTCACATCCACCGATTCAGGCTCATCCTTGAATTCCTCCCTGAAATGGAGAACAGATAAAAGCAAAATATATCATATGGTTTAGAACTTCCATCATCCTACTGCACCTAGAGACATGAGTAAAAAAGCATATCTAACAGTAGAGGAGAAAACAAAAGCCAAATTTCCAACGCGTCAATGATTTTCACTGTTTTACAATCAAATGTTCAAAGTTGGAAAGCCACAATAAACCAACAAGACTAGAAAGAACAAGCATCTTCATTCCGTATGGCTATGTTTGGACTTGGGAGTTAAAATTAAACAGAAAATAAAAGGTAATTATCATGTACTTATCAATGGTGTTCTGTGTCCAAAAGAATTGAAGAGAATTGGGGAAAATAAAAGAGCACGAAATGATCTCATCAAATACCTCTTCTTTTGAGTTTCCATTGCCTCAAGAGCATCCTTCTTCAGCTCCTCCAGCTGTGCTTTGGCTATTTTAAGTTCAAGCTCTTCTTCATACTTTGGCATATCTTCCTTTCGAATTCCAAGTCTAAGGTGGTACCATCGACAGAGAAACATAAAAGAAAGAGTAAGAAAGCAATTACAGCCCAGTTATTTATTGTACTCAACTGAAGGAAATAAAACACCTAGATTCTCACTACCAAATGAGAAATTTAAACAACCATATGGAATACACAACCTATAAAAGGAGGTCAACTGACAACCGACAAAGAGATTATACAATTGCATACCAAGTAAACAATGCGATGCAAGGTCCAATGTCTATGAAAAGAATAAAAACAAGTAAAACTATGAAAATTAGATGTCTTAATTGTAGAATCTGGCTACTACTCAGAAAATTTTCCTTCTCCATATTTTTCTTGCAAAAATCCTTGTCCTCCACCTTCTAATGAACGGAACACTTTCCCATATTGAGAGTACAAATGCCACTCAACAATATAAAATAAAAACACTTATAATATCATCAACAATTTCATGACAATGTAAGTGAAATGAAATAAAAACAGATGAAAACTTCAAAAGCTTGAATTTTGATGTCACTTGATATTATCCCAAGCTAACATATCTGAAAGAAATCCAGGGTTATGAACATACTTCTTATTAATCTTATCAAACTCTGCCAAGAGAAGGTCCATTCCTTTCTTATCATTTCTCAGCAAAGGTTTCTTTAAATCCTTTTCAATTTTGTCCAATGCATCAATCATCAGAGCCTCTGCACCAAGATCATCTGTAAGACCTCTCCTGTATAAAAAAAAATTGAACATATAAATATATGAGCTTGTGTTAAAAGAACCTAACACATCCTGAAGCAAGGGTTGTTTGTGCCATATGTTGGCTTTCATTTCAATTGTATGATTAGGAAAATGCTGATAATAATTTAGGCTCGTCATAATTTGCAGAAGAAAAAAAAAATAGGAAATATTTAGAACCAGAAGTTGAAAACAAAAGCACTATTTCATAATGAATTCAAAAGGTACATGGAATTGAAAGAACCCTTTTACAGTTAAAACAGATAATGACAACCTTATATAAATGAAAGGTTGAAGGGCACACAATACATACAATCATCACAATCTAGCCAATGAAGAGAGTAAAATAGATATCACCACACACTTGGTTCTTATTTCTTTCAGAGTCAAAAGATAGGTCCGAGCATCTGGAATATCCTGTGTCTCAATTTCAATGGTGGATTGGATATCTTGGGCCTCTGACAACAAGTTTGCCCTGCAGAATGCATAAGAGTTTATGACATAATTAAAACATTTATATAGAATGTTTGAAAAATTATGAGTTACAAACAAACAAAATATTGAGCAGAAATAGTATGGCAAAAACATCAAGGAAAAGCAGAATCTCACTTCTCTCTAACAGTCTTCATGACCTTTGCATAATGAGAAACAGCAGCTGGATCTTCTGGATCAATGGTGATCTTCTCATTTTTTAATACTCCTATGGCAGTCTCAAATTTGTTCTTCACCTCTAGAAAAATGTTCTTCAGCATTTCTGTTTCCATTCAATCAAAGAGTACGTTATCGGAAAGCAACAATAAATTTCCTTTTAAAGATCAAAATTAACGTATACAATCAAAACTATAAACTGCAAAAGAGAACTCACGATCTCCCTTCAGGGCAGGAGGAGCAGACCCTTTAGCAAAATGGCGAACAGGAATTATGTATTCCTTTTGCAGAAGGATTTGACTGCCATAGATCTGTAAGAAATGGTGAAAAATGGGCACATTACAAAAAATCAGTGGATAAACAACAAGCATCATCCCTTTCAAAATAATAAACAAAATTAACATCAGTTACATATAATTTTCCACCCACTATTCCGCAACCCAACGACATAAATCACCAGAACAGTCACTTGTACATTAATCAACAAAATTTACGCGTATTAACCATCATTCAAACACTATGTTCATTTCCACACACACTATTACGCAACTCCAATATGACAGATAAAAAACAAGAACAAAGACATTTTTTTCATATTCGGGCGTCGAGGCCGATGATGATGAGGGGTGACAAATCCCAGTGAATGGACAACTCCTAGTTTGCAAGCAAGTAATTTCCCCCAATAAATAGAATCAGCGACGAAAAAAAAAACTAATCTACCAAAAGAAATGGATAAACAAAATGTTAACCCTCGAAATCTAGCGTGAATTGTCCCTTATTCGCGTGTCATGGATTTAAAATTATCAAACTAGACAATCAAATGGCGATAGATGGATTGAGAGTAATGTAGATCCCGAGATTGAACGAGAAAGTGAGAAATAATAACATGAAAAGAATTGGTACAACAATGGATGGAGAAGAAATTGAAGAGAGGAAATGAGAGATACCAATCTTGATTTGGAGAAGAGACGAGAAGAGAGTGCCATGATGAGTTAGGAATGTTGTTCGTTCAGGTTTCTCTGGAATGCGTTTGTTAGGGCTTCTTCGTTTTTCACTATGATACCTCTCTTTCTCTCTAATGAGACGAGTTCACATTACTGCCTCTGACCTTAAATATCAGTCGTTGGATTTTCTGCCACGCGGAAAACTCCTGTCCTTCGCTTTTTACTGAATTTAAATGAACAAATTATTCTGTCACGTGTAGTTTTCTGATTTATTATTATATTTTCACACCTAAATTTTCTTTTAAATTTTTACCTAATTTTTCATTTGTTTTAAAAGTATTGTACTATCACTTTTTTATATTACATAGACCATATCCAGTGTAGTAGTTATAATAAGAATTTAATTTTATTTAAATTTTATATAAAAAATTATGAATTTGGTGACATATTTGAATATTCTTGTGCTAACTTTAAAAATTATTTCTTTTACTAAAAAGTAATTAATAGAAGAGATAAAAACGAAAATTTTAAAATATAGTTATACAAATTATAAAGTATATATTATGGAGTCGCTAAAAGAAAATTAAGAACTTAAATCAGTTTTAGTATTTGAGAAAAATATTAACTGTTCTTAAATTATATTTGACACTAATAGACTCATAAAAATATATTAAGAATATAAAATAGTTATGCAGATAAAATTGGATATTTTTTAAAAAATTTAAATATTATCCCTCCACTCTTCAATTAGAAAGAGTGATTGTAATAATGAAATAAAAAAGAGGAAATATAAGTATAATTTGAAAAAAAAAATTATTATAATTTACTCGATATATTTTTTAGACTTCAAATGTAGATGTTTTAGTTTTATCTATGTTATTTTTTAATATTTACGATTGACTCTCTTTTTTTTTTCCTTTTAAATATAACCTATCTTGTTCTAGATGGAATAATATTAAATAAGTAAAAATGTTAAATAAATGATGGTGATATTTTTAAAAGGGTCATATAATGACATCTTTGTAAGTATAATGAGAAAGAATGCATTTATATAAACCATAATAAAAATATAAAAATATTTATAAGGTTAAAAGAAATATTTATAAACATTGAAATTAAAAATAAAATATTTAAATAAGATTAAAAATATATTATTATTATTATTATTATTATTATTATTAATTTCAACCACTAAGAATATTTTTTTATTATTATTTTTGTGTAAATCTTTCACAATGTCGTTAACATGGCATGAAATTATAGAAGAAAGCTAACAAGAAATTCCAAATACAATAAAAGAAATTAAAAGGAACGGAAAAAAATATAAAGATCAAAATAAATAAAAAAGAACCTAACTTACAAATTATTTAACACTCAGTTTTTTATTTTCTTTTACGCCATAAAATTATTAGAAAATATTTTAAAATAATTGTTATAATCATTGATCTTACTATAAATAAAAAGTTATTATTAAATAGTCATTTAATTTTTTTATCATAAACAAATTTAATTAAATTAATAACAAATTAAAGTATATATCGTATTGAAATGTTGCAAATATTAGTAGACACTTTTTAATTTTAAAGTATATAATCAAAATGGAATAATTAATATCATTCATAAAAAATAATATCTCTTCAACATATTTCGGACATTAAATATTTTTCATGATAAAGACTATTTAGATAAAAAGAGATACATAATTTATCTATAATTAAAAAGTTAAAAAGGTATAGTTAAAATGTCATATATATTTTTATATTTATTTTCCTTTAAATCTGACATCTAGAACAATTTATTGACTTGAATGTGAGATTGGTTTTCATCTCACTCTACCATATATATATATATATATATATATATATATATATATATATATATATATATATATATATGTATATATATATATACTAGTGGAAATTTGATCGATTTCGAATTTTTGGAGATTTTGATTCTAAACAAATTTCAACCACGTAGATTCTTTTTATTTAGGCTAGCAAACGATTTTTCAATCGAAATATATATGAGAATCGAAAATCTCATTTTATCAAGAAAAGCTAACAACGTCACCTAGTGTGCCGATTGACAATCGAGAATATTATTTTTTATATTTTTATACTAAAACACTCGAAGAGGCAGTGTAGATTAAATTGCAGAAAAATGTAAAATTGCGGAAACCTCGAAATTGCATTAACTGTAAATGACAGAATTAAAATTGCATGAAAGTAAATGACAGGACGTCAAAATTGCAGAAACGGTAAATGACAAACATTTGAAAATACAGAATCTTAAATTACATTAAAGATAACTGACAAGTAATTGAAAGTATGGAAACCTAAATTTATGAATGTAAATTGCCTGAAAATAAGTTACCAGGGAAAGTAAAGAAAGCGGTAAAAACAGATCAATGAGAATGGAAATCCAGATCGCTGAAACTTCATGATTCGTCATTCTCCGGTAGACTTTTCACTTGTGTTTCGTTGTCTCTGCCAATTTCCCTTCTTCTTCCAGCTTCGTTCTATTTATAGGCATCCTTCAATGTAACCTCCCAAAAGCAGTTAAAAAAAACTGTCACCACGTTCCATGTGCACGTTCCTCAATTTTTACCTTAGCCTACGGTTTAGAAAACCGATTCCACGTTCCATGTGCGCTTTAATTGTTTCTCGATTTCTAACTTTAGCCACGATTTGGAAAGCCACTTCCCATGTTCCATGTGCATGATAACTGTTTCCCTCGATTTCGATTCCAGATATCGAGTATGATTTCCCTTAACCTTAACTTTAAACTCCATACTTTATTATCGATTTCTTACTTTCATCGAATTTCCTCCATCTTCTGATTCTTGATTTCTATTCTCGATTTATGTGTTCATACTGTCTCGTGGTCATCAAATGTTTTACAACCATCTTTTCGATTTATCAACTTTTTAACCAATCATATGATCTTCGATTTTCTCTCTTCCATTTTTCGATCCTTGTATCGATTTTCCACTAACAAAATGTCCCCTTGGAAGAATATAAACCTTTGTACTAATTTTATATTCTTTCAAAAATAAATCCCGCCCTTAAACACTCTTTAGGCTCAAAATAACTTTTTAAGGTTTAGGGTTTCTGGGGTTTTTTAGGGTTTTTAGGGTTTCTGCTTTATGTCAAATATCAAATCACATCACCTCCCACTATCACAACGCGCACGCCACGTATTAATTACCCTCTTTATATTCGTCGTTTCAAATACCCTAGTCGGCCTCTTTAAATACTCCAATCAATTTTACGCTTGTTTTTTTACCAAGAACCTAACCCATCTTTCTTCGTCACATTTTTTCTTCGTCTTCACCCTTTCCACAACTATAATGACGACTTCCAAATGTTCCGACTTCTCCACCCCACCACTTTCATCGGTAACTTCGACTCTAATAGAGATAAATGGTAAAAAGTTTGCTCCAATTCCCTTGTTGGAAGAAGCTTCACAGAAGATTGTCGAGACTCAGGTACTTATCCCTTACGCAGTTGATAGCGTAGATTATGCATTTGGTAGTCTCATCCGCTATTGTGGTGGATCGTTTTCCTCTTCTATCTGTCTTCCTTCAGAGAGTAAGACCCTTATTCATAAATCCGAGGTGCGGATTGATTTTCTAAATGTTGTTTCGAAAGTATATCGAACGGACTCTCCCCATAAAAAATCTTTATACATCAGATGGTTTGATAGAGTAAAGACTAGGTTTGGGAATCACTGGAGAGATGTAAGGATTTTCGATTTTCTACATCTATCTCGATGCGATCTCTCGTTCTTGGATATGTCTATGTTTTTATCAGCGGTCCATTTATGCGATCTCGATCCCTTTTTCGTGTACTATGAATCCTAAAAATTCACCAGCAGACACACCAAAAGAACATTTCAAGGGATTCATTTTTAATCCATATTTCCTCATTCTTTCAAAAGATTTTCTCAAATTACCTAAATGTTTATGTTTTTCCTTCGATACAACAACAATATCATCTATGTAAACTTGCATAAAATCATTGATCAAATCATGAAAAAATAAATTCATTGCTCTTTGATATGTTGCCCCAGCGTTTTTCAATCCAAATGACATCACTATCCATTCATAAGTACCCAATGCCCCCGGGCATCGAAAAACTGTTTTAGCTATATCATTCTGGGAAACAAATATTTGATTATATCCTGAATAACCATCTAAAAGACTTAACATTTCATTACCAGCTACTGCATCTATTAGCATATCGGCTATTGGCATAGGATATTCATCTTTAGGAGTTGCTAAATTTAAATCTCGATAATCAATGCATACTCTCATTTTACCGTTCTTTTTAATAACTGGAACAATATTAGAAATCCAATCGACATACCTGGCAGTCCTGATGAACTTTGCTCTAAGAAGTCTCTCGATCTCTTCTTTAATCTTACCCATCACCTCAGGTGCGAATCTCCTCGGAGCTTGTTTTACTGGCTTCCTGCCTTCTATGATAGGTAATCTATGTTCGATTAGACTTCGATCCAACCCAGGCATTTCTTCATAATCCCAAGCGAAGCAGTCTTTATACTCTTCTAATAATGAAATCATATCTTTTTTCATTTCTTTCTCGAGATACCTGCTAACATAAGTAGGTTTTCGGTCCTCTATACTTCCCAAGTTGATCTCTTCTAATGGATCTGGGACTTCGACTTTTTTGTGATTCGATGTGATGGATCTTTCAAAACCTAAAGGAGAATTATCATAAATGCAATCAAGTATAGCTTGATCACTATTATTTGCTACTACTGTCGAGTGAATCGACTTATTTATTTCTATCTTAGTACTACTACTTTCTTTGCCCTCCTTCTTTTCATCTTCATATCTTCTTAATCGAGCCAAGAATTCCTCATAATCTTTATTCATTTTCACCGGCCACTTTGAGGCTGACCCCCTCTTTAATCATGACAAACCCTCTTTTCTGATTCATTTCCAAAAAACGCTCCTCGTGCAATTTTGAATTAAAGTCTTCAACAGTCTCGAAGGTGAATGGTTGAGTGAGCGCCAAATT